AACAAGAATTAACAAGGTTGCGAGGTGTCCAACCTAAAAACGGTCGAGACCGGGCTCATTCGATAGAGAATGTGCCCTTTCTAGCAAGGATTTTGTGCCATTTTTTGATCTGATCTTGACTGTTTTTAGGTCTGACACCTAGTAACCTTTCCTTGTACGAATTTAAAATGAAATTGTGTTTTGTAAAATTATCTCTTATTAGATAATTCATAAAAATATTTTTTTGAAATTATTTTTATAAAACAGATGAAGAATGGAAAACAGAAAAACCAATTGTTCAGAAAAGAAATGAATTTAAAAATAATCAAGTGGATCTTCAAAATTTTGAGTAAATATTTAAATTTAAAAATTAATTTTTCTTAAAAAAATTCCTTAAAAGTGTATCAGATGAATGGGATAAAAATAATCGTTTAAGAGAAATTACAAAACAAAATCGAACAATTATTGCTGAAAATGAAGATCTTCGTTTCAGTTTAGAAAAAAGTGAAAAAGTAATTTTAATTAATTTAAAATTCTCTAAATATTTAATTAATTAAAAAAAGAAACTTTCAACTCTAAGTAAAGAATATGATAAATTAGCTATAGAATTAACTAATGCTAGAAGTGGTTATCAATCACAAACAGAATCACTTTCCTCTTTTAGAGAAGAAATTCAGAGAAAAGCTGAAAATTCTTCAAAAAATGCCCAAATTTCTGATCGGGAATTAAATATTTTAAGAGAAGAATATCGAACAATTAAATCTGCTTATGATAAAATTATTGCTCGGTAAATTAAAGATTCATTTCTTTATAACAATTTTTAGTTCTTTACAAGAAGAAAATAATGGAAAGAAAACATTAGATGAATTATCTCGTTTACGTTCAGAATTGCAACAAATTAATTCTGATAGTGAAAGTGAAAGAAACCAATTTAAACAAAAAATAAATAAATTAAAATTACAAAATGAACAATTAGAAAAAGAATTAATAGAAAAAGAAAAAAATTATTTTGATAATAATAATAAAATAAAAAATAATTATTTAATTGAAAATGAAAAGAAACAAATGGAAAAACAAAATAATAATATTAATGATAATGATGATGAAGAAGAGAAGGAGGAGGTTATTTTTAAGGATATGTAGTTAAATTAAAAATAGATGTATTTTAATAAGAGGACTTTAAATAATGTTGCAACTAATTTATAAAGTTAATCATTATATTACTTTATTGGTAATTAGAGGGGTTATTAAGGGAGTATTTACAATAATTATAAATAACCATGAATTACTTGAAATTAAGTACTACATATAAATAAAATTTTTTTGTTATTAATAAATAACAAAAAAAAGCATTTTACATATTAATTTTTAACTTAAGAATGCCAATAAATTAACAACAAAAAAGCCAACAACAACAACAAACAAAGAAAATACATTACTAGATAAATTATTTTCTGATGTTTTGAGTATTGTTGAAAAAGATGTAAAATTAATTGGAAATAAAAATAAAATAATTAATAATGTTAACGAAAATGAAATTAATGAAATAAATAATTTTAGGTAGATTTTAAATTAAAAAAAAATATTGTTTTTTAAATTTAAGATGGCAAAAAATGTATGAAGATGTTTATGAGGAATTGGAAAAAGTTCGACAAATTTTACTTGCCGAGCATGAATTAAATAATCGTTTACGAGAAGAGGTTTGAAAGGAATTTTTAAAGGGAATATTTTAAATAAATAAATATTTATATATTTTAATCCACAAAATTAAAAAAAAATTGAGAGAATTAAATATTTATTTTATAAAATACCACCCAAAAATAATTTGTTAAATGTTAATCAAAATTTATAATTTTCTACTTAACCTCACATTTTCCTTATATTTTAACAAAAAAATTTCCCTAAAAATAATTTAGTTAAACCAAAAGAAAATAGAAAATGAAGATTTACAAGCAAAATATGAAAATAAATTAAAAGAATTAGAATCAGAATTAAATAAGAGAAATATTCAAACAAATGGAATTGAAAGAGCTTTACAGTCAATTGCTAATGGAAATCAAATATTAAATAATAATTTAATTTTTGTAAATAATTTATTTAAAAAAATTTTTAAAAGAATTATTTTTAATTTAGAAAAATATTGAAAATAATAAAAATAATCTTCAACAAATTGAAGTTTTTTTAAATTATTTTATTTTTCTTAATTTTATTTTTTTCAAGTCAACAGAACTTTCTCTTACTTTCTCCAAATTAATTTTAACAGAAAATTGTTTGAAATTTGCAGAAAGTCAAAATCCAGCTGTTTTTGTTGCCATTGGTTTGTAAAATACATAATAAAATCTCTAGTATTTTATTTTGAGTAAAGTAATTACATAATTACTAGCAGTTTTTCTTTATAATAATTAGCCTGAGAATGTCTCAATAAAAATAATTTTGAATTTAAAGATTTGTTTTTAGATTATGAAAAACAAATTGGTTAATAACCAATTATTAATTACTTTACTCAAAATAAAATAGAGATTCTATTATGTATTTTAAACTAACAATCAATTTTTAATTTATAGAATTTTTCGATTTTGAATTACAAACAAGCCAACTTGTGAACGGGCCAGAGTAATTAAAATTAATTAAAATATTAATTTAATATTTATTTTTTAGAGCTAATTTAAATTTTACAAGTATTTTTGAATTAACAATCTCCGATTTATTTATTCATTATTTACAAACAGTTAAATTAATTAATTTAAATAAATTAAATATTTATTTATTTTATAGGAAGGAATGAATATAGAATTATATATTGTACAAAATGAAATAAATTATAAACTTTGTTCGCAAGCAACAATTCCACTTAAAAAATTACTTTCAATTAAAACACAAACAAATTTTAGGTAAATTAAATTATAAAGTTTAATTTTATTTAAAAATTATTTAAAATATAATAATTACCCTTTTTATTAAAATAATTTGTCTTTAAAATCTGACAGGTATACCTTTCTATCTAAATAAAATCTTTTATTTTTTTCAAATCTCAATCATTCATTGTCTATATATATCAATTCTATTATAAAATATTTTATTTAAATCTAAATATATATTTTTTAAAACAAATTTTTGTAATTATTTATTAAATGTTTGTTCGAGCATTTAAACTCAATATTTGTCTTTCACTTCTTTTTGGCTCTTTTTCAGCCATTTTGCTGTTAATTAGTTGTTTCTCTTGATCGTTTGTGTCACGTTTCCAATATCCATAAGGATACCAATAGTTATACCAATACTTAAAAATGAGACATAAAATTTTTAAATAATTATTTGGATTGAAAAAGTATTTAGGAAATATATAAAAATTAATTTTGTGACTTTTAAATAAATATACTTTCTCATAAAACAATAATAATCCCCAAAATTCTTGTACTTTAATTAATTATAAAAATTTACTTGGGCATCAATCTGATAAATAATTAAAGAAGCAATTAAGCAAATAAAAATTATTTTGTTCATTTTTAGAAAATAAAATTATTTTTTTAATTATTTTGAGAAAATTTCTTCACTTTTATATGAAAATAACACACACAAATTTCTAATTAAGGAATTTATAATTGTTATTAACATTCCAATCCTTTTATAATTTTAAACAATTTATTTATATTTACTTTCTATTTATTTTAAATTAAAAACAAACAAATTAGGCGAATTAAATGTAAATATTTACAATTTTGGAGATAATTTTTAAATTTTATAAGTGAAAACATAATTAAAAATATTTAAAGAAATAAGTTATATTTATTTAACTTTTTTTAAATGGAAATAAAATTGTAGGTAAATAAATAATTTAACAAGGTTCATGATTAAAACTTTAAATAAATCACATTACCCATAATTAGTCTGTTTATGTTATTGGTAATGAAAACACTTTTCTTTTCTTCTCCTATCACGACTATTAGCAGTAGTTAACGAGGGTCTTAATCTTGTAGATATATTTAAAAAAGACGAAAAATATTACAAAAACTTTAAAAAATTAATTGGATATATAAATTACTTTTACAGAGGTGAAATAAACTTTTTTGCTTCTAATGAAGATGATTCTCAAAAAGGATCAACTAAATCATCTATACTTTTAGCAAAACTTTCTTATAATGTAAAAGTTCCATTTTCTTTACTTCACGCATTAAATGCACAAAGGAGAAGAATGGCTGCTGCTGCATTTATTCCATTGATAAATAATGATGAAAATAAAGATTTTAATGAAGAAATTGAATCAAATAATCTTGTAATACAAATTCATCGGTGTCATAATTTGGATAAACTTAAAGGAGGAGAAAAAGGTGAAAGGAATGAAAAAATATATTTTTGTTTAAAATTAAGTTTTGGGAAATTTGGGATTCCTAAGGAACGGTGAAGTTTTAAAGCTTTTATTTCGCACATTCCACCGAGAATTTCACTCTAATTCCTCGTAAAACTATCGTTCTTTTAAATTAAATTTCAAAATTCTTTCTAAAATATATACCAAGAACAATTATTCAAATATTAGGTGATAAAACAAGGCAATCAACAGATGTAATGCCAAGTACATACATCACCTATGAATTTTTTACTTTCCCTATACATCTATCTAAAGTAGTCAAAAATAAAGCTAATCCAATATTTGATGAAATACAAACATGGAAATTACCAATAAATAGTGAAGCTATTCACAAATATTTAATTAACGAGGTTTATTTGTAATTATAAATTATTTAACAAATTTAAAAATTAAAGGATTTAATTATTTATGTATTTGAAGAAAATTCTGAAAATATTATTTCTTCTTCTGCTACTACCTCCCGTTCTCTTGGTTATATTTCAATTCCTTTATTTCCTTTAGCACGAAATCAAAAAATTAGAGGAACATTTCCGTTAACAGATAGAGTTTGAATAAATGAAAATTTAACAAAAAAAATATTTTAAAAATATTATAGGCAGATGAAACAATTACTTCGGGTGCTTCTATTGACATTTCTATATTTTGGCAATTTGCCTATGTTTTTGATGATACTAAATTAGTATCAAATACTGTAAATTAATATTAAAATATCTGGAAAAATAAATTATCAAATAATTTTAACAAAATCCATTCTTTTTTTAGCAATTAATTGGTGGAAATGAAATTGTAAAAGAGAAAATTTTACCTGAAGTAGCAATAAAATCCAGCAACAACATGCAAATTATCGATGAAACTAATGAGTAAGCATATTAATATGTATAGGCGATTTGCATCGTGTCTGGTGAAAACGGCAGTGGTGAATTGGGCAGTGAGTAATTTGGGCAGTAAACGTTTTTTAAAAGATAATTTTACACGCAAAAACAATTTGAGTAACGTTAGAAGAATAATTTTGAGTGATTTGGGCAGTAACTTAGAATTTTTAAATTATTTACACAAAAATTCAAAGAACCGCACCCCTTTTTCATTTTGATAACGTTGTAGGTACAACATTACCCTTTGTTGAAATCGTCTTGGTCTCAATTTTGACGTTTCCCTAAGTGATAAGTAGATTTAAGGTATGAAAAATTAAGAAATAATTCCTATTTTAAGTTTTTAAGTCTCAAGATAGGTCCAAATTATCTGAAAAAGGTCAAAATAGTTATGGAAAAATATGTTCAAATTTTGGATTTACTATACATAAGTTAAATAAAAATTTCTATATTTTTATTATCAATTTTAAATAATTTAAAAATTCTAAGTTACTGCCCAAATCACTCAAAATTATTCTTCTAACGTTACTCAAATTGTTTTTGCGTGTAAAATTATCTTTTAAAAAACGTTTACTGCCCAAATCACTCACTGCCCAAATTACTCACTACCCAATTCACCACTGCCCAAATCACACGGCACCATTTGCATATTTCCACAAATTTATTTGTTAAAACAAAATATTTTTTTATTTTCAGATTGAAAGAAATAAAAGAAAATAATCATGAAAATGATTTAATTAAAGATGATAATGATGATATTATTAGCTCTGATGAGGACGAACAAAAAGGGGAAATTGAGGAGTTGGAATTAAGGAAACGTCTTTTTTCCAATAAGATAATACCAGAAATTGTTAATAATAAAGATGAACAAAAAATAGATTCTGATATTGAAATAAAAGAAAATAATGAAGAAATTTACGAAAATAATGAAGAGAATGAAGGAAATAAAGATTCAGAATCAATTAATTTAATTAAAGAAGAATTAAGCGCTTTAAATGAAGAAAATCCTTCCTCAGAAAGCAGGCTCGTATTAAATTATTTTTTGTTTATAAAAATACTTTTTACAGTAAAATATCTGAACCAGAAAATATTCAATCACCGAAATCATTATCTAATAATTCTTTTGAAGAAAATTTAATGATAAAAGGAGATGGAAAGGAGGAAAAAGAAGAATCTGATGATAATATTTCTTTACGTTCAGATACTACATACACAATGGAATCGGCAAATCAACCTTTAAATGTTAACGAAGAAAAACAAATAAATGATGAATTGAAAGAAGATAAAAAAGAATTATTAGAAGAGAATATTGCTGAGGAATCCCTTTTGGGTGTGTTACCTCCAATTCCAGCACAGAGAAAGGTAAATGTGTTTAATATTGGAACTAAAATGAAAAGATCTCTCTAAATTGAGAGAATCTAAATAATTTTTAAATTACATTTTCAGTCTAAAATTGTTGAACCTACAAAAGAAAATACTACTTTAACACTAAATAATTCTCCAAATGAATTAGCGGTTCGAAGAGCTGTTGAATTTAGCGACCCTTTACATTCTTCAATTCCTCGTATATTTTAATTTAATTATTATATATATATTTTTAGTAAAAATATTAAAAAAATATTTATAAAAAAGAAATTACCTATGTAACATTATATTTATATTTTTAGCAAGTTCTATTTCTTCTTTTGCTGAAAGTGTAGATTCTCCTTCTTCTCATTCTAATGCTTCTTCTTCTGAATTAAATTCTAAGGAAGAAGATCAACAAAAAATTTTACAAAAAGAGAAAAAACGATTAAAGGAAAGAAGACAAATAAATATTGGAGCTATTCCATCATCACCTTCAATTCGCGTAAAATTCATTTTTTTAATTACAAAGTTTTAGAATACACAGATAATACTATTTTTTCAGTTAAGAAAAGAAGAATTAATTAGTGAAAATGTAAATTTGGAAGAAGAAAAAAATAATTTTGTTTTAAATATTTTTATTGGTAAATTAAAATTAATTGAATATTCTCCTCTTTTACGCCGGCAATTTGATTCTGGAAGAGTATTTGTGGAATGGAATTTATTAGATATTTCTAGAGATTTATGCGAAACTGAAGGAAATTTTAATTTGCCGAGAAGGCATTCTGAGGAGCTGAATTTTGATTGTCATAAATGTAAGAAAGGAATTTATTTAAATAATCTATCTTTTATATATTTTGAAGAATAACTTTAACAAAATATTTTTTAACTTTACTTTATTTAATATCAGTGTTTGATATTTGAAATTAGAAAATTATTTTATGAATTTTGAACTCAGAAAATTCGTTCATTTTTTCGTCGTTTTTTCCAATTTAATATATAAAAATCTGTCAAGAAAAAATATAAAAATAATTAAAAAATAATTTTTTAGCTTACACACTTGATAACAAACGAGTTGCTTTACTAAAACAATGGACAGAATTAAATACTTGTTTAGTATTTACTTTAGTATTAGAACTTGAAAAGGACGGTGAATTGGATGATTTATGTATGGGAGAATTTAATTTAATTGATATAATCAATAATGATAATTATGGAAATAATAATAATTTAATTGATAATATTACAAGTAAGTAAAGAGAGAGGGGGGAATAAATAATTATATAAATTAAAGTGAGGGATGTAGATAATTCAACTATTGCAATACTTGAAGTTGGTATTGGATATTCTGAATCATTGATGAAAGAAATTAGAGATTCTTTTAATTTTTCTGAAGGAGATGAAGAAGAAATAGGGGAAGATTATGAAGGTGTTGTTAATGTTTAAATTAGTTGAATATTTAAATTATTTTAACAGTAAATTTTTTAACTTTTTTAAAAAAAAATTTTATTAAAAAAATTTAAAAAAAAATTTTTTATTTTCTCTTTAATTTTATTTATTTTTAATTTGATAATTACTACTATTTTTAAATACAAATCCATTACCTACTCAATAATTGTTGTTTTTATTTACTCGAAATTTGCGATAAAAATTAAAAAGCTAAAGATCAAGTTACTTTTAAAAAATATTTTCTTTGAAAAATTTATTTAAAATTAATTTTACTAAAAATTGTGAATTCTTTCATTTCCTTTTAATTCTTTTCATCTCCAAAATTTAAAATAAATATGCGCAAAGCTGGTAACAGAAATTTTTCATTAAAATTTTAATTTCAAAAGTATTCTGAATTTGAATTAGAACAGATTGATTCCGAACTGTCGAAATCAACCAAAAGGGGGTCAAATAACACGATAACACGATCTCTAATGCTTTTTTCCTTTAATAAAATTTTTTTTTCAAAACTGCAAATGCATGACAAAATTACACAATTTTTTCTTTTAATTCTTTTTCATCTGCAAATACTTTTTTCCTTTTTTTATTTTTTCTTTTTGATCAATTTGTTTTTTGTGGACTGAACAGGTGACACCGAAAAATAATTCTCTTAAAAAATTAATGGAAGAAAAATATGTATAAAGAAGTTGGATATTATTGCTTGATAAAAAGTAAAAAAGAGTGGCAATATAAACTCTTTTTGTCTTTTTTGGAGAGAATAACGATTGATTGTTCAAATAAAAAGAAAAGATCACTTTCATGCTGTTATAAAAATATTTAATTCAAAAATTTTTTGTATAAGTTCGAAGCTAAAATATTTCAGTTTAAATTTCACCAGATACTTTTCCTAAAACCCGTATCTTGAACCCCACATTAATTCCAAACACTCCGACTGATCTTTTTCCACCCCTATTCTAATAAGACAATAATTTTCTAAATTGGAAAAACTGTATTAGTTGAACTAGAGGAGAGACTAATTAAGAAAGAAGGGCTATTTTAAGAAATTAATAAAATTTTAAATATTTGATACATATTGTTAATGGTTTTTTTACTTTTTTACTTTATTAAATATTCTTCAATAGATAAATTATATTAGTACTTGATTAAAAAATGTTATTTTCTGGTGGTACGGCAGGAACAAAAGGTAAAGTTTTCTTGAATATAAAAAATATTTTTTTTAATTTATTTGAAGGAACTCCTCCAAAAGAATCTAAAAAAGAACGTAAACCCGATAAAGAAGAAAAATATGAAGTAAGAAAATAAATATATTTAGAATTATTCAAATATTAAAGATAAAAGAGGCAGTATTTTTACGTTGGGCTAATTCAATAATTGATGGAGATTTACAAGATTTAAGGTAAAATATTTAATAATTTATTCGAAAAAAGAAATTTAGGGAAATTGCTGATGTTAAATATCTCTCTAAATTTGCTACTTTAATACTTGGTGTGCCTGTTGTAAGTTTTTTGCGATAAATTTTGAAAAAAAACAAATTTAAAGGCTTTAAGTGGGAAAAATGAGGCAGATGATATTGATGCTATATTCCATGCAATGGTACCTGATGATCCAGATGATCGGCTTTTTCAGATTTCTGTAAATGATTTATTATCTGGAAATCAAAAAACATTATTAACAATGTGTTGGCAATTAATTCAAATTTTTTGGGAAAAGTTTGCCCCTGCCCCTTCAAATGAGAGAAAAATGGTTGAAGCACTTAAAGAATGGTTGATTTTTAAATTATCTATTTTAATGGATATTTTATTAAACATAAAAAATTATAAAAAAAGAAACTTTAATTTGAAGTTTTTTGACCTTAAATTTTTTTCTATTTAAATTTGTCTTTTTAATTTATTTATTAAAAAAGGTGTCTTGACGCAACAGCTTCCTATCCAGATGTTATTATTAATGATTTTACTTCTTCATTTCGTGATGGAATGGCAATAAATATTTTAATTAAATCATTTGATGATTCCTTAATTGATTTGAGCGAAATTAGTGAACTTAGAGGGGAAGACAGAATTGAGAATGCACTTAGCCTTGCCAGGAGACATTTTCGTGTTCCAAAGCTTATTCAACCAAAGGAATTTTATAGTGAACATTTGGATATGAAAAGTGTTTCTTGTTATTTAATGATGGTAATTAATATACATATTAAATTTTATTTTATAAATTAATTTTAACTAATGGTTTTTTGATAAATGAGGAAGAATTTCCCATCCATCCATCCAAGTTCTGGGAATTAATATTCTAAATCTTTTTATTTAAGTTATATCTCGGAATGTGTGAATCATCAACTCGTCCCCAAAGAGTACCTTCTACAAGAAGACGGTCTACATTAGCTACTACCACAGTTGGCAATGAAAGTATTAGTGCACCTAGTACCCCTTCCGGAGCTCAACAACCACAACAAACAAATATTGCACAAACAGCAATAACTACAACATCTATACCAACAGAGATTACAACTGAGGCTGTAACTTCATTCCCGGAAGCAATCATTCATTCACAAATTCAACAACAGCAAATATTATCTGGATTGCCAGTCGCAAGACATTCAATAGCACAAGGTAATATATTATTTTTAATTTTACATTAAAAAACAGTTAAATATTTCAGCAGTTGTCCAAATTCCTGTTATTTATGCCCAACAACAAAATCTTGTTCAATCAGCTCATCTCACCGACTCAAGTAATTCTGTTGCATCAGCCCCGCCATATCCTGGAGGCAATCCTTTACAAAGAATTATTCAGGTAATTTTTAGGGTAATTTAAAAAAAATATTTTCCTTCACATTTTTATAGGCTAATATGTTAACTCCTCCATCAAATTCACAGTCAACTAAAGCATTTATTCCATTATTACAAACAGTTCCTTCAACAACATCTACTTCCGTTATTTCACCTTTAGCTCAACAATCACATAATCAAGCACAATTACTTGAACATCAAAAACAAATGGAATCTCAAAAAGAACAACAACAACAACCTCTTTTTCAACCTCCAACAGTCCAAATTCAATCAACTTCACAACTTCCAATGCTTTTAATGCAACAGCAACAAACTTCTTTACATAATTATCGTCCTCTACAGCTTTTACCTCCATTACCACAAGTCCTCCCATCAAATCAACCTTTACCAAGTCTAAATAATTCTCCAAATAGAGAATTAAATCAACAATTATCGCCAAAATCTCTGGCACAATTTACTTTACCTTCACAACAATTTATTGGCATTAGTGATGTTATGGAAACAGGGATGCGTTCACGTAAATCTTCGAGTTGTTCATCTAGTAGAACCTCTAGAAGTAGAAGAAAACCAGAAGAATTATTACAAGAATATGGAGATTATTTACAGCAAGTATTAACTTGGCTTAACGGTTTGCCTTATATTAGTAGATTAATCTGGATAACTTGGCAAAGGAATTAACTAGAATTCTCGATCTCCTATAAAAATATCTTTGATTGCCAAATGGAATAAATAAAAATGGGGATACCTAAATTAAGTTAGAGTTAATATATTACTCATAATTAATATATTACTCACAATATATTATCAGAACTTGATTGATATAAAGAGTTATTTATTAAAAGGAACTTTAGTTTACTTATTTTTTAAATTAAACATATATTTAAATAATTTGTAAGAGGCCGAACAAGAATTAGCATTAATGTCTTCAACTCAAGAAGATGAAAATGAATTGCCAAGCCTTGAAACTGCTAAAGAAAAATTTCATGAACATGAGAAATATATGCAATCATTAACTCAAAGTCAAGAAAGTGTTGGGCGTGTTCTACATCGGTTTGTTTGTTTTTTGGAAATGAGAGAAATAATCTGTCTGTAAATATCATTTAGTGGTCATCATTTAAGTAAAAAATTAGAAGATCCAGAACAATCTGCAGCAATTATTAACCAATTAAAATCTGTCCAATCTCGATGGGAATTAATTAGAATTGGGGCTATGGAAAGACAAACAGCTCTTCAACAACAAATTGAAAAAATACAAAGAGCACATTTAGATGAACTTATTGAATGGTTGGAGGGAATAGAAAGAGTAAATAAACAAAAATTATTTTTTAAATTAAAAAATAATTTAAATTAAAGAGATCAAGACAACAATTATGTCCACTTGCCGAAAATATTGATGTTTGTTTAAAACAGCGTGTTGAGGCTGGGGCTTTAAAACGTCAAATGGATGAAAAACAGCCAGTCTTTGCACAACTTTCTTCGTTTGTTGAAGTTGTCGATCAAAGTTCTCAACAAAAACAAAAAGAAGTTGAGCAACAAAAAAGTAATTTACAAAATTTGGAAATTTTGGTTAAACAGGTAATTGTGTTCTAAAATTATTATACAGGTCAATTAATATTTTTGGAAGAAATAATAGATTATAATCGAGTAGGTAATAAGGAACCGAAAAATTATTATACGGTTTCCCATTTCCTTCCATCATTTTTTCTGTCATAAAAATATCCAAAACAAATTTTCAGGTTGATAAACGTTGGAATAAACTTTTAGAATTAATCACTTTACATACAAAATTACTTGAAGGACTTGGTGATTTATTAGAAAAATATGAACAATTAAATAATGAAATATTTGAATGGCTAAATGAAAAACTAAATAAATTAAATAAATTAAAAACCCCAAATGAATTAAATACAGAAGAAGAAGTACAAAATTATTTAGGAATTCTTCGATCAATGGAAAAAGTATTTAAGAAATTAAAAGGATTTTTAAAATAAATTTTAATTTAAAAAACAGAGTTTAGAAAATCAAAAACAACTTTTTGAAAAATTTTCAACAATTTCTAAAGAATTAATTAATAGATTTGAAAAAGGAAAGAATTTGGGGGCTTCTCAAAATATTAGTGATAAATTAAAGGAATTAAATAATAAACGTGATGGAATTTTGAATAAATTAGAAGAAAATTCAGAAATGGTTGGCTTTAATTTTTAAAAATTTGAAATTATTAAATTTTATTAACTTTGATTCTAAAAGTTATATTTATTATGTAACTAAAAAATATATTTCATTAATCAACACAATAATGCATTTTATTTCTCTAATATTGACTCGGCTACCCGAATTTTGATGATTTGAATATAACCTTTTTTTAAAAAATTTAAAAAATATTTTTAATTAAAAAAATTAACCTTAAAATTTCCAAATCTGTCATATATTTTCCTCTAAATATTTTTATAATTATTTTCTCCTCTTTTAATGTCTCTCGCTCCCTATTTTAATTTATAATTTTAAGCTAATCCAGTCAGGAAAAGTAAAATTACAAACAAGTGAACTTCCAATTCCGTCAATAGAAGATGAAGAACAGCCAAGAAGAAAAATAACATTAGAAACAATATATTCTGTGGATGAAAGTCGTCGAGGTTCAGAATCCCCTCAATCAGCTGCGAAAAAAAGAAAATTACTTCAATTACCACCGGCAGAACATTTAACTATTGAGGAAACGGAAGAAGGGCCTGTGAAAAAAGAATTTAGATTTGAAGAAGAAGAAATAAAAGAATTAAAAGAAGGTGATTATGAAAGTAATTTTAAATAATTAATTTTAAATAATTAATTTTAATTTTAAAGAACAATCTTCTCCTAAACAAACTGAAGAAGAGAAAACTTCGACATTATTAAATCAATTTATACAAAAAGTTTCTTCTTTAAATCAAAAACTTCAACCGTTAATTGAATGGACTAGATCAGAATTTGTGCAACAACAAATGTCCAGTCAACAAGAAAAAGAAAGTTTAACAATTAAAAAACCTCAAAATATAAAACAAGCAGTACTTAATTGCCAAAAACGATTAAATGAAGTGCGAGAAATGGAACCTGCTGTGACTAAATTGCAAATACAAGTATGTACATAGTATAGTAGTGATGTTCGGGTATCCCGACAGGTCATTTCCCGCCCCAACTCCCGTTACCAGATTCCCGGATTTTTTTCTTCTCCCGAAAGCATATAGCTATTTAATTTTTAGCTTGAATTTTTGCACAATCGCGTCAAATTGAGTTCAAAACAATTGCATGCAGTAAATGAAATTTTTGACGATTTTATGTAGGTTTAATTGAAAAGGAAATAATTTTTATTCTTTTAATCAATTTTTTCAAGGTCACGATGGTCTTGTGTTGTTGGGACTATAAGTAAAGTTTTAAGTAATTTATCTCGGCCAGAACCTTTAATAAAAAGTCCAAGTAAAACACCAGAAAGGCAACAAAAACACTCAACAAATCAAAATAAAATATTTTTGATGATTGAACAATTAGATCAATGGTTAATTGCTTCTTCTAAATATTTGGATGAATTACCCCCACAAATGCCAGCAAACGATAAATTTGATAAAATTGCTAAAATTGCAAAACAATTGGGGGAACAACAAGCACATTTAAGTCATTTGAAGAGATTGGTGAGGAGAATTTTTTGAATTAATTCTGGTCTGCCTAATTATTGTTTTTGGAACTTTCTAATAAATAGAAGTTCGGGGGAGGAGGAGGAGAGCGTTTCTGAGTAATTTAACACTCATATACTAACTAGATAAATTACCTTCATTTCATCAATCCAACTTTTTTTAATTCTCCTTTTAAATATCACATTTTAATTTAATTTTTAGGCAAAGCTCTCCCCCGAAGAAATCAAAGCATTATTAGAATTAGAAAAAAGAATGATTTCTTTATTAAATCGAATTGATAAATTAACTGATGCTACTGAAGAAGAGGAACAACCAACTAAATTAAAAATTGAAGAAAAAATACGTCCACAAATAGGTTCAAGACTTTCACCACGTACAACAACTGTTCAGTTAAAACAAGAGGATAATTTAGAAGAAATACCTTCAACAAGTACTCAACAACAATCAACCTCTCCTCCTTTGCCAATGGACGAAGCTGAAACTTTAAGGTACTAAAATATATAATTAAATAAATATTTCTATTTTTAGAATGAAATTACTTGTTGAAGAAGAAAAAGAAATTGAAGCTAGTAATTTAGGTTTAGAGAAGGAAGAGGATGATGAATGGACAAAATGGTTGAGAGAAAAGGAAAAAGAATTAAAATTAAATGAAGAATGTATTCCCGGTGATTTAAAATCATTATCTGCACAATTGGAAAAATGTGATGAGTAAGTTTTTTAAAATTAAATTTTTATTTGGAAAATTATGTGGAACTATCCTTAGAGACTAATTCAGAATGGAAGGAAGGAGAAGGAAAGATTTTTATAAAAATTTTATAAAAAAATCTTTAAATTTCTCAGAATGATTGCCGAATTACGTAATAAACGTTGTGCTGCTTCTTCAAGTGAATCAGATGTTGAAATGGTTGCTCCATTAGAAGGTTTATTACGGGCTGCTGAAACTAAAAGAAATCATTGTGTTGATAGTATAAATAAAACACAATTATCTATCCACAAAGCTGTTAAATTGGAAGAAATTGGTGATCAATTTAAAAGAGAACTTGAATGGTTAAGAAGAAATTTATCTGTTGATGAATCTTCTTTAAAAGAATCTTTTGAAAGAATTAAAGTAAAAAAGGGAGAAATAAATTTTAAGAAAAAAAATAAAAATATTTTTAGTATTTAAAAACTTCTTTACAATTACAAGAAGAAACAAAAAAAGAAACTTTAAATTTATTAGAAGAAGTTGCACAAATTGCTTTAAAAAAGAAATCAAGTGGCTCTAATATATCTGGGGAACAAATGAGGGAAAGAATTGTGAAATTAAAAAATCAGTGGAAAATGATAGAAAATGAGATTGAGGTAAAAAAATTATTTTTGGAAATATATCGAGAATATAAATTGAAGGAATTACTTGATTGTTGTAATAGAGAAAGTCAAAGAAGGGCAAATTCTTGGCTTAATTCTTTAAAATTACTTTTAGAAGAATTAGAACAAGCATTGAAAGGAAGTTTTGAATCTGCAACAGATGCAGAAGAATTGAGTGAACATTTAGATAATTTAGAACGTCTTTTAGATAGACTTGGGTCTATTGAAAGGGAAGCTGAAGAAGAGGAATATAAATTGGAAATTACAGTTAATTGAAATTTTAAATTAAAAAATAAAAAAATTAAAGGAATTCCATCCACAATTAATTGAATTAACAAAGCAAAGGGAATCTTTAATTAAAGCTACATATGAGAGATGTACACAATTAAGGAAGACTGTTGCTAATTGTGAACATTTTGAACAAAGATTGTGTCAAATGCATAATTGGGGAGCGTTAGTTTTTTTGTTTTAAATAATTTTTGAAATTAAAAATATTTTTAGAAATATGCAACAAATATTAAATCAAAGACTTGCATCAGATACTTATTCTTTGGAAGTACCCAATGAATATAAGGTTGGAAATTAAATAAAAAAATATTTTTTAATGAACATTTTTCTGACATAACAGAATTTAAAGTTTGTGGCCCAAAATAACCGAAATCGAAAAAAGTTTGGATAACCGAAAATCCGTTTCTGGATAACTGAATACTACATAATTTTTTTTCATTTTATATTTTTAATTAATTTTTAGGATTCACAAAGGACTGGGACTTTATTTAAAGTTTAGTATATTTTTCTCTCTTTTTTTTAAATATTTAAATTTAATAGAAAATTGATAAAGAATTTTCTGAATATAATAAACTTGTTGAAGATTTAAATGGATATATCCATCAATCAAAATCAGAATTTGCATCTACAGAACGTTTAAAACTTCAATTAGATCATGCAAATGTTTTTTAAATTTTAAATTTATTTTTATATTTAATTTTATTTTAAAGCAACAACTTTCTTTATTACGCCCAAAGTTTACAGAATTTAAACAACCAATTGGCCTTTTTGAAAGAATGGATAGAATTCAACAACAATTAACTGAAATTGAATCTTCTATGGATGATTTGGCTGGAATTGAAGTTTTAAATGATTTTTTAATATTGAAAATTTAATAGTTTTTAAGGAATATTAGGGAATTGTAAAGTTATTTAAATATAGGTATTTAGGGGGTTTTAACAGACAGTTTTAACAGATATGTAAATAAACTAAAAATGAGTTACAAAATACGTTATTGTTTTCCCTAAATCATTATGTATCGGTGAACAAAAATATTGAGAAAAAACACCAATTTATTTCCTTTGAAGTAAATTCTTATTTTTAAGACATCAGGAAATAGTGGTAATAATAAATAGTGATAATTTAGTATTAAAAATTTAATTAATTTATTAAAGTTATACAATTTAAATTTAAAAAATTATTTTTTAAAGTCAGAGAATTGTGAATTCTGTCTTCTACATTTAGAACAAATTCAAAACCAATTAGAAGAATTAAGCACAGATTGTGCTGCTTGTGAAGCTTCACGGGATACTTTAATTCGTGAAGGTATAATAGAAGAAATACAGGCAATTAAATTATCTGCTCAACTTTCTGAAATGACTAAAAAATGTGTTGATGAATTGGAAAATAGAGCAACAATAAATATTCAAAGATTAAAAAGAGCTGTCGATTTTGTTGAAAAATTTGATAGAGAATGTGCTGTACTTGATAAATTATTGGGGGAAGTAGAAAATAGATTAATACAAAATGATGAAAATATTAAAAATGAGAAGGTGATTGAAGAATATAAATATTTATTTGGAATAATTTTTCGTTAAAATATCTAAATAAAATATTTTTTTATTATTTTTATAGCAAACTCAAAGATCTGTTAAAATAATTGACGAATTATATAGACAATTACGTGCTGCAACTGATTCAACTTCAAAAGCCAAGTAAAAATAATTTTAAATTAAAAAAAATATTTTTTAATTTTTTTAGTGAATTAGAAAGTTTTCTTCGAAATTTAGCTATTAGATTACCTAAAGAAAAAATTGAATTTATTAAAAATGCAGAACAGCGTTGTTCTAAACTTAGAGATAAATTGGATGATTGGAATGAATTAATTAACAATCAAATACCCGTAAATATTAATTTAAGAAAATATTTTTTTTGTCAAAATTTATTTTAGAAAATAAATGAAAAAAGTGAAATTAAACAACAAAAAGACCAAAACATATTAATTGAGGAAGGGATTTTTAATGAAATAAATGAATTGGCCAAAGAATTGGATAAACGATTTGGACAATTAGAACAACTAAATTCATTACCAAGTTATCAATTAATTGAGTAAGTTAAATACTAAATATATTTTTTAATTTTTTTGTCAATTAAAGACGATTAAATGCCCTTCGACCATTAAAAGAACGTTTTGAACATTTATCATTACAAACTTTATCAAGAAAGGATTTCGGTTCTAAAGTAGCTCCTCTTTTAGCTAATCTAAGTTCTAGATGGCAAAATTTAACAATAAAGGCTTCTGACAGAAAACGGCAAGAAGAACAAATTAAATATCAAGAATATTTGAATTTAAATGTAAACAAAATTAAAAAAAATTATTTTTATAAAAAAACATTTAACAGCAAGAACCAGCCTGTACTAGTCCATTATCAATTGGTGAGATATCGCCAACAACCGCTTATCAAGAGGGATTAAATGAAAATGAATCGCTAGAAGATGTACGAGATTTTGGACAACAAGTTCAATCGACAATTGAACATTTTGAAAGGGCTAAACGTCATCTTAATTATTCTAGACATCCTGTTAATAATTTACAAGATTGGGAACAACGTTTAAATGTAAAGTTTTAAATTAATCTCTCCTCTATATCTCTATTACAATCCTCTATCTTTCACTCACAATATCATACCAGTCCCTATACTTTAGGACTTTGCTTCCAGCCTTCCATATCTCAATTTAATTTATTTTTTCAGAAAATTGGTCAATATGTTGCCAATCGAAAACTCAATTTTGACGTTTTAATAGCTGGAGGAAAGCATATTGCAGAATCTGGCCCAGTTGAATTATTAACTTCAGCAGCACTTTCTAAACTCGACGAACTTATAGATTTAGTCCATAATGTAGATGAGCAAGTTGAAAGAGAAGAACAAAGACTTCACAATATATGCCAACAATTTGGGATTTTTAATGGACAAACACAAATGGCTAGAGAGAGATTGGAAGCTATGGAAATGAAAGCAAATACTTTAAATACACACGCAATTGATCCTACTCCTGTTATTGTAAGTATATTTTTATTTTAAATTTTAAAATTTTCTCTAATATAATTTTCTTTAAAAATAAATTATATTTTATTTTTTTTAACAATTATTTTTTTATTTAATCCCATAAATCATTTTAAAAAATTACAAAAGCATTCATTCCTCTATCCATTTTTCTTTTTATTCTTTAAAAACAATCCAGAGCAATATAATTCCAAATATTCTCAAGTGCTGGTATATATGTACATACATATGCCTGAATATAATTAATTTTTATGTTCACTGTTTTATTTTCTTTGTTTTTGACTGAAACATCCTTTTGCGCGCTTTTAAAATTTAATTATTTGCTTTTTCATCAATTTTGCAAGTTAATTATTTTTATTACAAAACTTTAATTATTATTCATTAGATTATTTAAATATATAAATTTTATATTTTAATTCTTTTTTATTCTTTATGTGCCCTTCTAATTCTCAGGATAAAAGCTAAATAAATATAATACATAGTAAGGGTAAATGGGTTTTTGCGTCCATTAATTTTGGTTATCGTTTTTATTTAATGGCTTAAAATTTCGGTTAGTTCGAATAACCGAAAGGGTGTTTTCCACATAAAGTTATGGAAGTTATTTACTGATTCTTCTTCCTTTCAGGTATTAAAAAATTGAAAGTATTATTATATTAATCCACAATCACTTCCAGAGTAAATTACAATAAATCTCCAACTTCTTAAACTACATTTCTGATATATATATTTTAAAATTTCTTTTAAAAATTCTTTAGTCTATTTATTTAAATATTTTTGTGACTAAATATTTAAGTTTTAACATAAGCTGCTTTTATCTTCTTTCTATTTAATCCTTCCTCTCTTTTCTTTTATATTGTTGGCCACCAAAGTTTTTGTTTCATCAACTACAAACAAAACTAAGAAATAGCCACATTACTTTTTGTTTTTTTTTCTTTTTTAATTTTCCCGTTTTTCTTCCCTTTTATCTTCTAAATTTATTTTTATTTTAGTTAATATTATATCCTTCCTTTTCATTAATTATAATGCCTTTTCTCACTAATGCGCAATTTTTTTATTTACTTTGGGAACCCCAAATATCCGGCAGGTGGTAGATATCAAAAATTTAGGATTTGATTATTATAATTGCTATAAAATTAAAATTGTTTAGACCTTTGTTAGTAAAATGGAGAGAAAAGTAAAAATATTGGCAGCTGATTCACCAATGGTTTTTGCTTTTTAGTTCTGCATTTTTAAATAAATTATTTTGAGTTATTAAATCAGCGGGGAAACGAACACTTTTTTAATTTCTAAATTAAAATAACTGTTACTTAAACTTTATTTTCTTTTTATCTTTTATTTTTAGTTATGATTCACCCATTTATTTATTTAATATTTATTTTTTCCGTTCATTATTTAAATACTTCAATATTAGCCATATATTTAAAAAAATTATTTTTAACTTTTTTTTTTGTAAAAATAAATTCTTGTCAAGAAATCTAAATTTTAATTTATTTTTGTGCTCAATATACTACATACATTTACGTGTTGTAGAAGAGAGATAATTAAATTATTCCCCATTCATTTAAACTTGATTTAAAAAGACAGAAATATTTAGTAATCAACAAAAAATTTAGATAAAGTAAATATATTTAAACATAAAATATACTGTTTTATAAAAATAATATTCTTATTCAAATAATTAATTAGTTATTGTATTCACAAATAATTCCTTATATGTAAATTAATTTAACTCGGGCAAAATCTGTAATTTTTTTTGGAATTATCTCACCGTATTTTATTTTTTATTACTGGACGGTATCCACAATATGATTGAACTCTTAAAACTTTCAATAATTAATCCTTAACTTATTAAATTAATTCCTATTTTAAAATATAGATTCCCTCCATCGGTACTTTTCTCTATAATCTTTTTTTAAATATTTTCTAAAAAAAGAAGCAAGCATTTATTAAAATCAAAAATTAATTAATTATTTTTTTAATTAACTTTTTATTGGACTCGTTTTTAAAAATTATGCAAAAAATACGCAATTTACACATTTCCTGCTACTTATTATCACAAAACTAGTTTTGATTAAAATATTCACTAAAGCTTTAACTACTTTAAATTAATTTATTGTTGTTGTTATTGTGGTGTTTATTAATGAATTAATTTTATTTAAAAATAATCTTTTGTTTAAAATAAATGAACTGGAATTAATTTTAATTATTTAAAATTCTTTTAATTAAAGAGAATTCAATCATGTTTTTATTTCTCTTCCTCTCTCTTTTCTCATCTTAACACCTCCAATCCGTTTCTTTATTTTCTTAAATTTATGTCTACTAATTAAATTTTTTTTTAAATTTTTTTGTTGCAATTATTTAAAAATATTTGTATTAATTAATAAAATAAAATAATATTTACATATTTTATTTTAATTTCCAAAATTTTTAACTATTTTCTATCGATTATTCTAATATTTATTTAAAAATTGCATTTTCAATAGTGTTAATACATTGTAACTTTACGGCTTATCACACACTTTTTCCTGTTTTTTTCACGTTAAACTAAAAATATTAAACTACACTTTTTAGTATATTTTACTACTATAAACATCTTTTTTTTATTTATTAAATGAAATTAAAGGTCATTGGCGTGTTTATATCTTATAAAATTAATCCCGCAAAAACCTTGAATTTGTTTCGAATATTTTCTTTATCTTTCTTCCATCTTTTATTTCTCAAAAGTTTAACACAAAAAAATTTTTTTATTTGTTCTTTGAAAAATTAAAAATATTTATTTTTTATTTTACCTTTTTTATTTAATATTAAAATTTTTTTAATTTTTTTCTATTTAGACACTACAGCAAGAGTTGATGGACACGAGTGGCCAAATGCAGCTGTTGCAGCTGAGCGCAGATGAATTGCGAAAATCTTTACCCCCAACAATGTGTGAACAACAAATTGGTAGGGATGTATTAGATCAACTCAATCAACAATTACATGAAATTGAATCTCGTGTCCAATCAGCTTTGCTACGTGCTTTGCAATATAGGCAAGATGAAGACGAAAATATTCAAATAAATGAGGAGGAGGGGAGGAAAGAATTGTGGCAACCTGAGTTTGATGTTGCGAATGTATCTACTTCTAGTACAGCACAACAAATTTTTGGTTAGTTAAAAAAGAGGATTTTAATAAATGAAAGAAATAATTAAAAATGAAATTTTGTTTTTATAAAAATATTATTTGTTTGTTTACTATTAAAAACACTAAATAATAATCTAAATCAATCAGAACCTTAATTTAATTTGGCCATTAATTTAGTGCCATATCCATCAGAAGAACAACAGTTGGAGACAAAATATAAAGTAAATATTGATGGAATAGCCTCAACCTCGGAACCTTTGAAAGAATTTTTAGGGGATGAATATATCGAGGAGAAAAAAGGAGGGAATATTGGAACAAGGCAAAGAACGGGGGCCAAGCCAAAAGAAGGTCAAAGAATGGGAGAAGAAGAAAAAGATGAAGAGGAGGAGGATGAGGAGGAAGGGTTTAAATCGACCACTACTGACCACCAACAACAACGGCGAAGATGGCGAACTGCCGCTGCTGCTGCTTTGGCACCGCCTTCACAAATAGCCCAACAAAAATCATTTTTACCTCCAACAGAAAAAATGAAAAGTGATGGCCAACAATTTTTATTAAAAAGGCAACAAAAAATTGGAGAACAAACTGGAGGCATGGATCAATTTTACATTAGTTTAAATATAATGGAAGATTATATTGAACAACAACAACAATTAAATTCCTTGCCGTATGAAACTTTTACTGAAAAAGCTGAAATATTGAAGGTAGAAATAAAAGGAATTGAAGAACCTTTGATTTATAATTTATCTTTAAAGGATTTCGAAATGGAATTAAAACGTGGGGAGCAACTTTTAAATGAACATTTAATGACAATGGAAGTAGGAGAAAGTGAGCATGTTAAAGCCAGAATATCCTCATTGAGGAGACATTTTGAAGAAAAAAAGTCTGAATTAGAAAGTCGTCGAGAAACAATAAGGGCATTAGAACAGCATTATTCTCAATGTGAGCAAATGTTGGATGAATTAGCTAATATTTGTAAAGAACCAAGAATACGACTAAAGGGAGTACGGTTACCAAAAAATGAAGAAACTGAAGAGGTGATTAGTACATATTTTAATTAGATTTTTGATCTTTGGTATCTTTGTTAGAGAAAATATTCAAAGACTAGTAAAAGATATTATTTTTTTTAATCCTTCCACAGACAATAAAGACTGATTAAGATATTAAATAATAAAAAAAGAGAATTATTCTTCTCTTTCATTCCCCTATCTACTGTATAATTTATTTATTTTTATTATCAATTAATATTTAGAGTGAAAGAATTAATCTGACAGAATCACGTGATTCTTCTCCTGACCTAGATGAATTGGAAGCAGCCCAAGCCCAATTAGAGAATTATTTACCACCTATTGCTGTTCGTCTTCAACAAATCCAAAATAGATTAAATGTTTTAAGTGAACATCTTTCTGCCGCTGCCCACAATAAATTTCAACAAAAACTTCGTCTTTTAGTTGAGGATTTTAATGAAAGGACAAAAGAAGTTAGAATTAAAAGAGATCAATTAGAAATTCGTTTAGCTGACCAAACACATTTAAAACAATTACTTGATGATTTGGAATTTTGGTGTGACGAAAGTGAAGCTATTTTAGTGTGTTTTTTTTAATTTAAAAGAAAAAAAATATTTTGTTTAGGAAACAGTTGAACAAATTGGCCCTTTAAATATTTTAAAAATAGAAAAAGAAGAGGAAAATATACAAAAAAGATATTATTCAACAGAAACAAAATTAGAATCATTCCGTCAATTGGAAAGGCTAAAAGATAGATTTGCTAATTTAGTTAGTGTTGAACCCCAAGTTAAACATGAAGTAAGGAGGGATGTTGCTAATCTTGGAAAAAGATTGAGTGATGTAGGTGTTTAGTAAATAATTTTAAAGGAATTTTAAAAAAATATTAGAATTTAAATTGGAAAAGCTAAATTCCAATTAAAAAAATAATTAAAGAAAACTATTAAAAAATAAAACATTTGATTAATTGTTGATAACTTTAGCTAGATTTTAAATTAAAAATACTTTAACTAAACTTCTTTTACTTCTTTAATTTAACACGTGTTTAATTAAGAAAAATTTATTTTATCCATTAAATTATGCAAAAGGAAACAAAGACTGATTTTTAATTATTTTTTTCTAAACTACATACAAACAATCTCTTTTATTTTTTACCCGCCCAGTTTTTTTTCCATTTGTTGTTCTTTTAGTAATAGAAAATATTTATTTTTTTAAATATATTTTTAAATATTTTTTCTTTTCAGGTTCGTATAAAATTAAAAGAAAGAATGGATAATTTATTAGCAGAAAAATGGTCAGCAGATGAATTATGGAGGGAATTTGCAGCTTTAAAGCAATGGGCAGAGGCGGCAGAAAAACAAATTTATGCTGTTGAAAATGCAAAAATTTTTAGGTATTTTTTGGGAAATTATTTATATAAAATATTTTTAAAAACTTTTTCAGGCCTTCTCTAGTTAATATAGAGAATTTGGCCGGAAAATTAAGTGAAAACCGGTTAGCATTACAAAATATACAACAACGATTAAATCAACAGGCTGCGGTTGTACAAAATGAAGGAAAAAATATTGGAGAAGTGGAAAAGGGGAATTTAAAGGTGTTTATATGTATTTATTAAATAAACTTTTAAAAATATTAAGCATTGTCCAGACAATTTTTATTATTTTTAAATACAACTTTAAATATTAATTAAAAATAAATTATACTTCTATATAATTTTTTGTTAATTTATTCTTTAAATATATTCTCATCTTTGTAATTTTAAGCTTGTCGAGAATTTGCTTATTAAATTTGTAAGTATTGAACGGTCTGTTGACCGCTTACTTGAACAAAAAGCAGCAGCTTCTGAAGAAAATTCAAGTGAAGAAGAAGAAATTGAGAATTTATATAATAAAATGGATGAAACTAAAGAAAAATTATTCAAAAAAGAAGAAGGAGAAGAGGAGGTGTTTTTTTTTTTGAAATTTAAAAAATATTTTAAAAATTTCTTTTAGTTAATTCAGAACCAACAAAATGGTTTCCATTCCCCTCTCGAAAATTTTGGACAAGAAAATGGACATCTTATTGAATATAGAACTTTAAGTACACAAAGCGATGGAAGTGAAGAAAATGTTGGGGATGAAAATAATTTAATTCAAATAATGAATCCAGAAGGAGATGACAAAGAAGTAAACAACAACAACAAATATCCACGTAGAAAAATGAGTTTAGCAGATCAATCGAGGCTGGATACTGTTACTAGACTTCGTTCTTGGCTTCAGGCTAGCTACTCGAAAATTTATTTAAAAAATTGTTAAAATAATTAAGGAAGTTGAAAGGGATATTGCTACGTCTGTTGATCTTTCTGATCAGAGTTTGATACGTCAAGCACTTGGAAAAATGCAGGTAAATTGTAGATTTATTTTTTATGAAATATTTTTCAAGTGTTTTTGTCTAAAAATAATTTCTGTCCCACTTTTCAGAGCCTATAAGGGATTTTTTTATATGTAGGACATCGAGGGAGTAAACTTGAGAGGGAATTATTCAAAAATGTTTCAGTTTTGTTTTTAATAAAAATATAGGTCATTTTTTCTTACCCTTTCCTAACTATAAAGCAACTTTAATTTTGCCTGAGGGAACAAAAAAACAGACTTCCTGCCTTTCCTTTTTTATCTTTTTTTCTAAAAATAATTCTTTTATAGAATTTTGTAGACGATATTCAAATAAACCAATTGGAGATAATTAAAGTACTTGACGAGGCCAAAGATAAATTAATTATTGAAAGAACACAAATTTGTTCAGCAGAAATGGAACGAATTCTTGGATTGTGTAAACGTCGGAAAGGGGATTTACAAAAACTTTTGGAACAGTGCAGACTTTGGGAACAATTGCGTGCTTCTCTAGAGCTTTGGCTAAATCAAGGTGGAGGGGATTTTTGTCTTTTATTTTAAATCAGATATAAAAATAAATGATTTTTATTGTCACAAAAGGATGTTCTGATTTAAAAATTAAATTTTAAGCAAACGAAAAATTAACTTCTGGTGGCCGTGTTATTGGTTTAAGTGATGAAGAACTCTCTGAACAATTGGATTTAATTAATCAATTAACTGCTGAATCTGACCAGTGGGAAGAAAAATTGAGAGAAATGAATAGAATATCCAATCAATTATTGGAAGTATATAGACGGGATGATGGCCATAATCTTAGCCATTTAAATAGCAAATTAAATACTCAATGGGCTAAATTTAATGATCAATTACGTATTCGACGTTCTGTTATTGAAGCAGCACAGAGATCTCGTTTTGATTTTCAAACAGCTTTGGGACATTTTCAGCAATGGATGCAAATACAATGTTTAAAATTACAAAAATTAGCTAATGAGACAGAAAATCAACAAAAACTTAAAGATACCGGACTTAGAAATGAGTGGTTGGGGAAAGAAAAGGTTGGGGGGAAATCAAAAATATTTTAAAAACTTTTAAAAATACTTTTTAAGTCGGCAAATATGGAAATAGATGCACATAGAGAAATGATGGAATCAGTTAAAAAGATGGGGCGTAAATTATTAGAAGAACAACAACAAGAATTGTTAAATTTAGATAATAATAATGAAATAATAATTAGTAATGTTGGAACTGAAAGAGAAATTTTACTTAAACGTGTTGAAAGTATTGAAAGTGAATGGAATGCTTTATTATCTTTACATAAAATTATTAAAGAAAGATTAGAAAATGCACAGGAAGAATGTGATCGTTTAATGTTTGTCTTTTAAAAAGAATTTTTTGTTAATGAGTTAAAAACATGTTTTCCGATCTGTCTTTTCGATCTACAAAAATTAATACAAAAATTAATAAAAAAAATTGCCAAACTTTCCCTTTGTTTTCCTCTCAATTTTTATTTTAATAATTTTCTAGTCAATCGCTTTCTGATTTTCTCTTTTGGGTTGATCAACAACGCAAAACTATTGCCAATACACAGCCAGTTGGGGGTGATTTGAATAGCGTGGAGAGACAATGTGGAATTCTTCGAACAATTCAAAGGGGTATTGAGGCTAGAGAACAGCCTGTAGAAGTAATTAATTTAACTGAAAACAAATTATTTTTTTGTATTTTAGGAATGTATTAAATTAGCACATGAGTTTTTAATGCAACATAATCTCCGGCCTCCAATACATCACCCTTCTCTAATGGCTCAACCACCTGTTGATCCATATAGCCCTAAAAGTGTTTAACTATAAATTTAAAATTTAAAGAAAAATTTTTTAGCAGAAGCAGAACGTGAAGAACGCCGTGTTGGGCAACAAATAAATTCTGATTCTAAACAGTTACAAGAAAATTGGGCAATTTTAAAAGAAGAATTAACTATTTGTTATCAAAAAGTTGCCGATACTCACAAAGAAATGCAAGAATTAGATCGTTCAATGGCTGAGGCACTTCTTTCAATTGGCACAGTGGAAGGGGAAATACAAACAATGAGACCTGTTGAAAATTTATTGTTAGAGGATTTAAATGTTTGTATTAAAATAATAAAGATAATCCTTCAAATATAAAATTAATTTAATATTGACTTTATTTTTTATGAACTTCATAAAAAATTCTTAAATTAATTTTTATTTTTTAGTTAGAAAAAGTTGAATGTCTCGAATTTCGCCAAAGAGTTCATGAAGCGGGTACTCATGTTGATGATGTTAATAATTGGGCTAGTAGTATTCAAGCAATGGGAATTGAATTAAGTGATCAATTAGAACATCATATAATTGCAATTAATGAAAGATATGAAAAACTTAAAAGAGATATTGGGTGTAGATGGGCAGCACTTGAAAGGGCTTTAAATGATTTTGGACCAGCTAGCGAGAATTTTCTTGTAGATTTGGTAGATCCTCCTTGGCAACGTGCAATTTCTACAACAAATAGACTTCCTTACTATATTGAGTAGGGAAATTTCTTTTGAAAATTTTTGTGATAATTTTTATTCAATTTTTCAGTCATAGTGCAGAGCACACACAATGGGACCATCCAGCAATGGTTGACATACTTGAAAGCCTTTGTTCTTTCAATCAAGTAAAGTTTAGTGCTTATAGAACTGCTATGAAGTTAAGAGCTCTGCAAAAACGGCTTTGCTGTAATTATTGAAAATATTTTAATTTTCTTTTAAATTTTTATTTTTAGTGGATTTAATTGATTTGGCTGATTTAAATATGCAGTATACAAAACATCTTTCTAATTATGCAGATGAAAAAAGAATTCAAGTTGAGGATGTAATCCAATGCCTTTTACCTCTTTTTGAAAAAGCTCATGAAGAAAGACCTGCTTTAGTTCCAAATGTTTCTTTAGCTGTTGATTTAACGCTTAATTTACTTCTAAATATTTTTGATCCGTAAATTTAAATAATAATTTTAATAAATTAAAAGAATTTTTTAGATGTAGAGACGCAAAAATGCGTGTGCTTTCGTTTAAAATTGCTCTTGTTGTTCTTTGTCATGTAAACTTTTTTAAATTATTTTTAAATTATGTTCAGTTATTTTAGGCAACTTTAGAGGCTAAATATACTTATTTATTTCATCTTATTTCTAATAAAGATGGAGTTGATCATAAACGACTTGCTGTTCTTTTTTATGATCTTATACATGTTTGTGTTTATTTTTAAATTTAAAAATACAGTCAGTTAAACCTCCTTATAAAATACATCCAATACTAGGAGGTACTCTGAATTTATAGTGCAATTATTGTGGAGATATTTAGGTTATACTCCAATAATGAATACAATCATTTTACCTAAAAATTTTCAGTTAGTTGTGTAAAATCGGAGTCTGATTGTATAAAATCAAGAATAAATATGGTACTTTTCTGTTTTGCCACACCCCACCCATATATTCGCAGGATATATTTTTTATTTTTCCTTTATTCGTACAGAAAGGTCAGTTTTCTTTCTTCCACAATTTCACTTAATTTGCCCTGTGGACTCAATCTTCCGTGTTCACTCGATTTTTTCAAATGTTGATTTCAATTAGAGGTCGGCAAAATCGTGTTTGCGGGATCCCGCGGGATAAAATTTTTTTAAAAATCTTTGCGGGACGGGATCCCGCGGGATAAATCCCGCAAAATCCCGCATTCCCGCAAAATCCCGCATTTTAAATTTGCGGGATCCCGCGCGGGATTGCGGGATTTTTCAAAAATCGCTAAAATGATCAATCTCAATTGAAAAAAAAGAAAATTTAATAAATATATTAAAAGTTTAACAAATAATTACGTTTAACCAGTGGATCTGAGGGGATTAAAGGAGCTAATGAGGGATGGTTCCGTGACTTTTGCGCCGAGAACATTTGCGCCGCGACACTTGCGCCGCGACTTTTGCGCCGCGACTTTTGCGCCGGGCGACTTTTGCGCCGCCACTATCATTAAAAATATTTAGATAACTACAGCCGAACCTCACTTTAGTAGTGTTGTCGGATAGTTGAAAATCTTCGGATATCCGGATCCGATATCCAAACTGAAAATTTCGGATATCCGGCCTTTTTCGGATCCGGATTTTTTAAATAATGGCGGCGCATAAGTCGCCCGGCGCAAAAGTCGCGGCGCAAGGGTCGCGGCGCAAAAGTCGCGGCGCAAGGGTCGCGGCGCAAAAGTCGCCCGGCGCAAAAGTCGCGGCGCATAAGTCGCGGCGCAAATGTTCTCGGCGCAAAAGTCGTGATACCTGAGGGATTTAGCGTGAATTATGGGGATATCGGTAGGTTCGGAGGGATATCAAGGGCTTAGGGTGCCAAAGTTTTCTTGAGCCAAAATTTTAAAAGTTCTCGCATTAATACTACGCCATTCCAATGGATCGACATTTTGCTCAATACATATCCTTGACCTAAGTGTTTTTTTATTTCATATCAATTTTTTAATCAATAACGGGTTCTTAACTCGTACTCGTTGCTCGTACACGTATCGTACTTAGTACCAAATTACGAGTACAAGTTGGTAAAAATGCACTTATCACCGGTCCCTAATTATCAAAAAATCATAAGGGACATGTATACGAGTTCGAGTATACGAGATAAAATAGCTTGAGCTGAAACAAATGGGTTCAATCATCGTGATCTAACAATTTGTCAATTTTGTTTTGATGAAATAGTGATGATTCCTTGGGCGACAGCCGAAATTTTTGGAAGGCCAAGTATCAATATTCCTTCCTTCTTCAGCGCCGCAGGCAAAAATTTCGAGATTTTAGGAAGGCCAGCGAGCTAAAATTCCCCTTTTTCTTGCGCCGCAGGCGAAAATTTTTTGAATTTAGAAGGTTAGGAGCCAAAATCCTCCATTTTCCAAAAATCCCGCAAAATTCAAAATATTTTGCGGGATCCCGCGGGATGAAATTTTTTTTAAAACCTTTGCGGGACGGGATCCCGCGGGATAAATCCCGCAAAATCCCGCATTCCCGCAAAATCCCGCAAATCGAAAAAAGTGCGGGATTGCGGGACGGGATCCCGCAAAATCCCGCGCGGGATCCCGTCCCGCGCCGACCTCTAATTTCAATGTTGATGACATTGGAAAGAAAAATTAATCTTCTCTTTTTTGGTTTCTCTCATTGAACATGCCAGAGGGAAAATTGAGGAAGAAAGAAAACTGACCTTTCTGGGGCCAATAATAATAACGGAGACAATCGACAAACGATAGATATATTTTTCACGTTTGTCGTTCGGATACGTCGTTTGTCGATTACCTCGAATAAAAATAAATATCTTTATCGTTTGTCGTTTATCGTCTCTATTATATCGACTGTCGTCGAGATTTGTCGTTTGTCGTCCGAAATTAGTCGTTTGTCGTTGCAAACGATAATTTATTACGGTAACTAGAGAAAAACTACGGTTTTTGAACGACAAATTTAGTGGATGCTCAAACCTGTCCCCCAAATTTATCGTTTGAAATTTAAAAATTTTTTTTAAAATCCAAATTCAACCTAAAAATTCCAAATAAAATATTTTTAGATAGATTAGAATGTGCTCTATCTTTTGATATGAGTTCCAAAAATTTTACTTTAAAAATAAATTTACTAGAGGCTCTCGCGTAAGGTACATCCATGTTTGAGAGAAATAGGGACTCATTCTCTCAAATAGGGCTTTAATTTTTGATTAAGCGTCTTATAAATTTTATAACTATTAGGGAAGTAAAGCTAAAATTCTGATTTTTACTTATAGTATGTAAAAAATTCTCCTCTATCTATCGGTATAAAAATTGGAGGGATTAAGGGGATATCAGTGGATTAAGGAGGATATTGGTGGATTTGGAGGGATATCGATATATTTGGTGTTTTAGGCATAGTCAAATTAAAATGAAAAAGTGGGATCAATTATAATCTCCAAATTATAATCAGTAACTTTGATTTTTAGAAGGTTAGTAATTTTGATTTCCACCTTAAACTTACACCCACAGATATACCTCAATGACGTTTTATCCCCACTATCCCTCGATATTCAGGGACTAAGAGAGGTATTGAGGGATTTTAGGGATATCGGGAGATTTGAGATCAACCGATTTGAGGTGATCTAGGTATCTAAAGATAGTTTGTTATTTTCAAATTGAATTTGGATTTTTTAATTTTTAAAAGGCTGCGGTAAAGTTTTTGACCTTCACGGATAATTTTTATAATTGATGGGTTATCGTTAGATTGATAGGATTAAATGACAGCGAATTTGATATATTTTTGGTATCATTCGATAGAGGACCCTCGACTTCCTATTGCAAAGTAATATTTGTTTTCTTGCAAAACGACTTTAAGCCAAGTTATGGCCAATCAAAGTTTTCGGTCCTCGGGTGTATTTGAGTATAAGGAAGAGGAGAAAGGAGTTAGCAATTTCGTTTTTTCACTCTCTTTGTTTCCTTTACATTTTCTTATAAAGTTGTGAAGAGAATACATGAGGCGTGAGGAATACAAAGACTAGAGAGGAATTTCCTCTATTATATCGTTTGTCTCCTTTAATTGTTATTGGAGGTAAACGCTAAATGACAATTGACAATTGATAAACGATAATTTCCATAATATCGTCAGCTGACATATTCAGACGACATTCGATATATTATAGACGATAAACGACAAATTTGTAATATATCTATCGTTTGTCGATTGTCTCCGTTATTGTTATTGGCCCCTGTACGAATAAAGGAAAAATAAAAAATATATCCTGCGAATAATTGGGTGGGGTGTGGCAAAACAGAAAAGTACCATAAATATCGAGAAAAAGACGTTTACTTTCCCTTAATTTCCTTTTTTAGATTCCAAAATTTCTTGGCGAAGCCGCAGCTTTTGGTGGTTCAAATATAGAGCCTTCTGTCCGTTCCTGTTTTGAACATTCCAAATTCCCTCCACATATAAATTCTGATCAATTTCTTGATTGGCTTAAGAGAGAGCCTCAATCTTTAGTTTGGCTTCCAGTTATGCACAGATTAGCCTCTTCTGAATTTGCAAAACATCAAGCTAAATGTAATGCTTGTAAAATGTTTCCGGTAAATTTTATTTGAGGATTATTATTCGTAACTATTTTTAAAGATTGTTGGCCTTCGTTATCGTTGTTTGCGTTGTTTTAATTTTGATATTTGCCAAAATTGTTTCTTTAGCCAAAGAATTGCAAAAAGTCATAAATTAAATCATCCAATGCAAGAATATTGTACTCCTGTAAAAATTATTATTATTTTATTTAAAAAAATATTTTTTTATTTAGACAAGTACTGGCGATGATGTTAGGGATTTTACTGCAATTATTAAAAATAAAGTACGTCAAGGAAAGGGAAGAATTGGTTATTTACCTGTTGAACAAATAAATGAAGGTCCACCACTTGAATGTGCTGAACAAACACCACAAAATTCTGAAACAGAATCTATACATCAAAGGATGCATTTAATTGCTTCTCGATTAGAAAAAAGACAAATTGAGGCAGCTGAACATTTTCCTTTGGCTGTTATTTTGCCTTCGGATGGTTAGAATTATTATTAGAGAATTTATTTTTAAGTAAATGTCAAAATCTTCACCTCTTAAATTTTTGATAAAAACTAATTAGATAATCCCCCCAATTAGATTATATTTATTTTAAAATTTTTGATAGTTTTAAAATTTAATTTTTTAATAGTCAAAATTAACGGAGTCGAAAAGAATGGAATAATGGGTGTTGGTATGCATACACCAATAATGATTGATAATGAAAAAAATGAAAAAGAGAATGAACTTATTAATGGAAATAAACAACAAAACGAGGTGTAGATACAAATTTTGTTTTAAAATTAAAAAAAATTTAAAGATTTCTCAAAAATTGCCAGCAATTCCCGGTTTAGCCCCAAACTATCAATCACCAGAAATTCAGATTTATCACGATCAACAAAGAAATGCACAAATTTCTGCGGTTGTTTTAGCTGCCCAACAAGAAGTTAAATCCCCTAGTCAATTGGTTACTCAAGTAGATCAAGCAAGTAAAGAAGAATTGGGGCAATTATTACAAAAATTACAATATGAAAATATGTAATGAATAAATAAATAAAAATTAAAAAGGAATAAATAATTATAATTTTAAGAGAATTAAAAAGAAAAATTGAGGAAAGAAGAAAGGCAATTTATTCAACAAATAATTTTTCTCATCAAGCAACAACTTCAACACCAAATTTACGAACACCTGTAAATAATGAAGATTTAGAAAAAATTGAGTAAGTTTATTTGGAAATATTTTTGTAAGAATTTTTATTTTATTAGAACTGATTCTCAACAAAAACAAATAAATATTGAAGATGCACACAAAATTCGTGCAAAAAGTATTGGAACTGGTATATACCTAATTAAATAATTTTTTTATAAAATTATTTATTTTTTAGTTGGTCTTCCAACAATATTTTCACAACAAACAATGTTGCCTCCCCCACGTATTCAACGTCCATTTCCAGTTCCTGGTTTGTCTCAAATATAAAGAATAATATAAAAAATACTACATATTTAGCACTTCATCGTCAATATTCATTAGGTATACAAACATCAGGTAATTTTCTTTACAAAAAACAGTTAAATAAATATATTTATTTATTTATAGATCCAATAACCGAACAAACAAATGATCATCTTCAACAAATGACAGTTCTTGTTGAGGCTCAAAAACTTAGATTACACCAAAAAAGATTAGAAGAAAGAGGAATGGTACTTGAGGAACAAAATAAACAATTACAACAACAACTTGATAGATTACAAAAATTAATGGAAAAAGTAAAAAAAATATTTATTTTTAAAAAATTAATTGTGAGGTAGTTGAAGGAATCGAATATATGTATTAACGAGATTTTATTTAAAAAATTTTGAAAGTTAAATCAAAAATTTATAACTAGAAAAGGGGTAGGGGATCATTGTGTACCGGCCGTTTGTGTACCTGGCCATATTTTAGGCCATAACTTTTTGGAGTTTCAACCAATTCGGATAAATATTTTATCAATCGACAGCCCTGGATGTGAGGATTATTTTTGCCAACATGAGTTATTTGATCAGATCAACAAACAAAAAGTTACAACCAGATAAAGATCAAAATCACGATTGCACGTATTTATCTGGCTGTAACTTTTTGTATAATGATCTGATCAAATAATTCCTGTTGGCAAAAATAATCCTCACATCCAGGGCTTTCGATTGACATATAAATTATTTAAATCAATTAAGAATCGAAAAAGTTATGGCCCAAAACATGGCCAGGTACACAAACGGCCGGTACACAAGTGGGACGTTCCGCTAGAAAAGTATGAGAGTCCCTCCTGCGATTTCCTTGCAGTTATTACTAGAGGCTTTCTCTCACCAAATATAGGTATTCTCCCCACCAAATCGCTGCTTTAAGTTTTTTTTATTAACCCCCGCCATTTAATTTAATTATTTAATAATTTTTAAATAAAATATTTTTTATTTAGAAAAATGAAATTATTTTAACACCAACACAAAAACGTATAGATGAAGTCCAAACAGGTATAGTCTCCTCTACAGATGCAGAGGATACAGATATGGAAATGTTGGGAATTAATAGAAAATCTGTTGGGGGAGGATTAAGTTCTGGACAAATTGGGACAGAAATACGTAGAAATAGAATGGATAGGTTTTTGAAAATGATTTTTACTTTAAGTTTATTTTTTAAAAGATTAAGAGAAACAGTAAATGAATTAAATAAAGCAATGGAACATTTTGTACAATTTACTCAGCATTGTAGTGCTGTAAGTGGAACAACTGCTGCCTTAAGAAGAGATATTGAAAATGAAAATGGTGATGATAATGAAGAAGAAAATGATGAATTAGATAGTGGAACTGCTGATCAAGATTGTTTTGAGGAGAAAAAAGATTAAGAAAATGAAGAGAAAAATATTTAAAATATTTAATTGTTATTTTTTTGTTAAAAATATATTTATATGTATATTTTATTTAAATTTAAAATTAAATAAAGAGAGATAAATTGGAATGAGGAATTGTCCAAATGATTTTTTAATAGTCCTGATTTTCTTTTTAATTTATAAGCTTTAAGTATTCTTATCTACTCTCTATTATTTAATTTTAAAATTAAAACTAATTTTTATTTTTAGTATGTATAGTATTTACATAAACATTTGTTTTGATTTTTTTCTCATAATATAATGTTATATTTATATTTTTTTTTGAAATTTAATAATAAATTTTTTTTTAATTAATTAATTAATTAATTATATATTTTTATTAAAATTTATTTATATACAACAACAACAACAATAAATTAAAACATTTAAAAATAATAAAAACAGAATTAATTTTCTTCTTTGTCTTTTTAACAATATAAAAATCTAAATTTGTTGTATTTTTTTATGTTTTTCTTTTTCTGTTATCCACCTTTAAAAATTTTTAATTAATTAATTAAATTTATTTTTTTTACTTTATTTCCCTGTAATTGTTTTTCCAAAGCTTTTTCTTTATAATAAGCTTCCCAACTTGGATATATTTTTGGTTCTAATGTTTTTTGTTTATTATAATAATAATTTGGATATTTATATGTTGTTGTTCTAATTGGTGTTTTTAATGTTGTTGTTGTTATTTGTTGTTTATTATACCAATTATTTGTTTTTCTTTTTGTTGTTAATTCTGTTGTTGTTGTTGTTTTTGGTCTTTCTGTTGTTGTTGTTACTCTTCTATAATTTAAAGGCATATAACAAAGACCGTCATAACAAGAAGGTTGGTCTTCTGGACATTCACTACAACGTTCTGATTCTCTTGCTGCATAAACATATGCTGGATACTTTAAATAAAATGTATTTTTAAAATTCATATAAATAAATAACCGAATAAAGACCACCATTATTTAAAGGCATTACTCTATTCCCTTGTGGATTATAGTGACAAACAAAACTTTAAAACAAAATTATTCACATATTTAAATATTAAAAACATACACAGCTCTAGCATAAGCCCCAACCCCATTAATTCCATTACATTGTGCATAACCACAACCAATTAAATTTGTTTCGGCCCAAACCATCTAAAAATATTTTTTTTTTATTTTTATTTCAATAATTATTTACTTGTATATAATGCCCACAACAATGTTTATATCCTGTAGAACAGGCACACCAAGGATTATTTATTTCAATATACCAACGTTGAATTGCATCAGAATAATCATAATAAGGGGCGGCCCTAAATACAAAGAAATTTCAAAAATTTTGAATTAAAAAATAGTTTTTTTTCTACCAAATATTTTCTCCAACATTACTTGGTCGATTACGAGAATGATGAAAATCACCTTAATAAAAAAATATTAAATATTTTTTTAATTAATTACAAGTATCAGCATGTGATTGGGCACTTCTTGCCAATTCATTTGACCAATAAACCATTCTCATATTTTTTGCTGGAACCTTTAAATTACTTTAAAATAAATTTAAATTCAAAGTTTTTACCATTCTTCTATATCTATTATGTTCATTAGTTATCCATATTTGTTTGTGATAATCTGGAGAAATTGAAGCTATTAATGATGGACTACGCCAATTACTATATCCACCATAACCATAATATGGCTATAAAATAAGAATATTTTTTAAATAATATTTATTTAATTTTTTAATAGCTAATATTTGTTTAATTTTACAGAAAAATTCTTGTAAAATTAATCGAAATATATATTTGTTTAAATTATTTTTTTAATTTCAATTTATTTTAAAAAACTAACACTTCTTTTTTCTCTAGTAGAATTATTCCTCATTATTTCACCATCTTCTACCTCTGGAATATCCGGCTCATAACCTGGAGGTTCATTAATTCTATGATTTGTTGGCTCACTATGTGATGTTACTGCTACATATATGATTAAATTTAAAAAATAATTTATTTAATTTTAACCTTCAGAAAATGGTGTATTTATTTGATTTTTAATATTTAAATGAAAAGCTTGAGAATTTAAAAATAATTGCAAAATAAAATAAATATTAAAGAAGAAAGGCATCATTATTACTTTAATTTAAATTAATTTATATCTTTAATGGGAATAAAAAAAATAATAAAATTAATTTTTTACAAACATTTTTATAATAATTATTTTTATCACGTTTTTTAATTTAATGAATTAATACAATTATATGTAGTATTTAAATATATATTACAACAAAAATAGTATTTTCTTTGTTTAATTTACAAAATTTATATATTAAATATATCCAAAACACACACACAAATTAAATTAAATTAAAAATAAATTTTTAATTTCGGATCATTTCACAAAAAATTAATTTAATCTTTATAACAATTAAAAAATAAAATTTAAATATTTTACTAATTATTTAGAAGTAAATTATCTATTTTGGTTAAAAAATAATATTTATTAAATTAATTATTAAATTAATTTTTTGCAATATAAATACTTTAAAAAAATTTATTTTTACAAAAAATTAATTTATTTGTGTTTTGTTAGTCTCTTTTAATTCTGCAAACTTAACTACCTAATTATTTCCCCCTTTCTCACATTTTGTAAACGGAAATGATTTTTTGTTTTAGTCTTTTTGATGCGCAAAAGAAACTTTTTTAGAGATCAAAAACTCTTTTTTTGTTAAATCATTTATTTATTTTACCTTTTTTATAATTTAATTATAATTAAATTTCTTAAATCATTCCGTATCAAATTAAAATACAAATGAATGCAAAAGAAGTTAAAACGATGAAATTTTAAATAAAAAATTTGATATTAAATAGGTATATAAAATTACCTAAATGGTTAACCCCTTAAATGTATATTGGAAAATATTAATTTAAGGAATATGATAAGGAATATAATTTAGAATCCTCATTTTTTGCTTTCTTTATTATTTACATAGATACATATGTAGACAAATATAAAAAACATCTTTATTTAAAGAAATAAAATGTATAAATATCAAAAGTTTTTTTCTAAAATTATACATAAAATAGACTGAATGGCACCAAATATATTTTCACATTCAGCTTTTAAAGATTCAGTGGATTAAAATAATTTTTTAAATAAATTCGGGAAATGGGTCGTTTTATATAAAAAAAACTTTATTTTTATTTTCTCGTTAAATAAATAATTAAAAAAAATGATTCTTTTTTGTTATTTAGCACTTCCTGTCGTAATTCTCCTTTTTTGGAAAAATACAAATAAAGAATAATTTACTGACATCGGAAATATTTTTTAAATAAATTTTTATTAAAAAGATAATGCTTGATTAAATTATTTTTTTAATTAATTAATTTAATTAATTAGTATATTTATAGTTACCTAATTCTTTTTTTAAATTTCTGATTTATGTAATTTTAAATTAAGAATAAACTACCTAAATTTAAAATTAAATTATTATAAAAATTAAAATAAATTCAACATCTCAAATTAATTATAAACATAAATTCTCAAAAAAATGACAAATAGTATATGAACAATAATTATGGGTAAAGTATCAAATCATCTTTAAGTTGTTTAAATTCTGAGGATCTAATTGGTATAGTTTTAATAATTCTGAATATGATGTTAAGTCCGTACAGGATTTGGATTTTCTATAAATTAAGAAGTTTTGTATATGTATTTTAAATAATTATTCATCAAAACAGATCCAATAAAGATCTTTTCAATTGAGTTAACAAATATAAAACAAAAAACGGATAAAAAGATTAATAAATAATTATGTATACCAAATCAATTTAAGGGTAGTTCATCTATTTATAATATCCAGAAAAACTTTCCGATAATCATGTTATTGAAAAGTTAAAATTTTGATGGAATCCAAGGCTCAATATTCAATATCTTCAAGGATTGCCTAACTAAGAGAAATTATAAAATCAGATTCCTACTCAAAAATATTACCACTAACCAGTGGGGTGCTCTGAAAAGGCCCTTGATTAAAAAAAGGCCCTTGATTATTGGGGCCTTGATTATTGATTTGATTTAATATTTTGATTATTGGGGCCTTGATTATTGATTTGATTTAATATTTTGTGAAATAAATTTAGATTAGAAAGTATTTGTATATCTATTTATCACAACATAAAGATACCAATTATGTATCACACGCAGAAAACAAATAATTACAATATGACAGATTGAAAATATAGAAATTAAAAATATTGAAATATTAGAAATTCGATTTATCAGGATAATCTTCTCTTTCTTTGCACAAGTATCGTGCTAGCGTGTTATGGATGCTCACAGCAGCTCAGCCACTGCTACTAAAAATTCAAAAAGATTGTTTTATAAATAAGTCTCTTTCATTACCGTGATGATCCTCCTTTTGCTCGTGTCTTGCCAATCTCATCACGTACACTAAAAACGAAAGCTTTTTGCAATCATAATTTAAATCGAAAAAAATTTTTCCGTCGGAGAACATCACGGGCACGACTAACATCCTTTTCGTTTAAAATAGTTTCAAGGAGAAGAAGAAACTGCGAACGGCGATTCAGAATATCGTAACGAGTACTTCTCAGACTTTTGCAGACCTTCACAACTCGGTTCAAGCCGCAAATGAAAGAAATAGATTCTTTACTGAAACTTTCCGGACCTTAGCGTTCGAGTGTGTTTCCCAGACACGGCCAAAAATAGAAGCAGCTACATAAGTCCCAGCTCCATTCATACCAGCTCTACTGTGAACCAAAGTTGGACGCAACACCGATCGTTCACCAACTGACCCATGTTCTCTAGCGACCAAACAAAGTGTAGAAGATCAGACAAGTCTTTGTAGTTCATCGGACTGAACCGAGGGTCATCCTAGAAAAATTAAGGGTTAACTCCAAGTTCATCAAACAATCAAAACTAAAATAAACACACCGTCCAGTTTCGACACACTAAAAGCTGGATGACACGTTCATAACGCTTCTTTCCCTCCTTGCGTCCAATTAACATCTGTGCCAACATCCAAGGTTGTGATTTCGAAATTGTTGACCTTTAAAAATAAAACTTTGTTGAAGAACAAACCCCACCAAAAGTAATTAGAATAATTGAATTTAAATCCTCATTTTATATGTCTCGCCTCTGCTCCTGTTGTAGTAGTCGCATTCGCTTTCGTGACCAAGGTTGACGAGACAAACAGCAACGTACACATTGAACTCCCACAACATGCGCAGCCTAAAGTAAAATTTAAAGCAAAATAAAAAGTGACAAATTGTATTACCTTGCGGTGTAATTACGTAAGAAGCTAGAATAGAAGAGCCATGCGTGAGTTTTTACGGATGATGGTTAATTAATATAAAAATTGACAAATTGTAAAGCAAAATAAAAAGTCACTTTTTATTTTGCTCCTTTTATAGTACTGTAATGATAATCAATAAAGAACTAATGTGACGATCAAATGATCTTTAAAAATACACTAAAAAATCCAGTACTCCTGTCGAATTTATATTTATAACTCCAAATAAACCGATATTTAACTAAAATTCAGAGTCGATAACGAGTTTTTTAAAATTTGGACCGGAAACCCAAAATATGGAATTGGCAAAATACATATGTATAGGTCTTTTCCCTTTTGCAAGACGTTTAGATTTTGCGGCTCCATGACAATTGTACAGTTTACAATTGTAAACTATTATTTTTACTTATGAAGAGCATGCTTTTCATTTTTGAGAGGCTATGCTTTGCGCACTAACGTATAATTATGGTCAAATAGTGGACAATCGACATATTGGCCTGCACATAACAGTCGCGCTATAGTGACCCGCGCCATAGTGTTCATGTCCCTTGTGTGGAATTTTCTCGATTCTATTATTAGATCTACCTACTATTTTTTATCTCTTTTTTAACTTTTTGAATTATTACATTTTATATTTTTAGAAATTTATCAAAAAATGGATACATCTAAAGAACCTGAGGTTTTTAATTAATATTTAATTAATTAATATTTAAATTTTAATAAGGAACAAAAAGAGGATTTAAGTCCCGATAGAGATGGTACAATTATTAAATCAATTATTGTTTCTGGGGAAAAGTTTAATTGCCCAAGTGACCATTCTCCTGTTAAAGGTTTTTTAAAAAAGAAAATTAATTTTAAAATATTTTTTTAAGTTCACGCTGTTGGTTCTGACTTAAATGGACGTGTATTTTATGATAGAGAACTTGAATATATTATGGGGGAAGGATTTGAACATCAATTGCCTAAGGGTTTTGACAAGTAGTGAATTATTTGAAAATTAATTTTTTTTATTTTTTAATTAAATTTAAAGAGCACTTCGCCGTATTAATAAAGGAGAAAAATGTAAAGTTACATTAAAAGGGCGTTTTGGTTATGGGACTCAACCACCTTCGGAATTTGGATTAAATGCGAATGAAACAATTATTTTTACTTTATTTCTTAAAGATTTTGAAAAGGTTTTTTTCTGATAAATTTTTTAAATTTCTTTTTAGGTTAAAGCAAGTTGGGAACTTTTGGATGAAGAGAAGCTGATTGAAGCTCTTAAATTTAAAGAACGTGGAACCAAATTCTTTGGAGAGGGGAAATATCAACTTGCTTTGTCTAAGGTATTCTTGAAAATTTTATTGAAAAATTTTAAAATAATTTTGAAAAAATGGACAAAACTTTGTTAGGGACACTTAATTCCAACCTTCCAACTATTTATATTTTGAAAAATATTTTTTGTTAATTTTAGTATAATGCAATTGTTTCACTTCTTGAATTTGCTCGCCCTTCAAAGCCAGATGAGGAAGAAGGCAAGCAATTAACTCAAAAATATGAACAAACACTTATTGCTGCTTGGGTAAATTTAAAATAATTTTTTTGATTTTAAATATTTTTTGAAGTTAAATATTGTTTTGGTTAATTTAAAAATGGGAGAGAAGGCGGAGGCAATAAGGAATTGTGATAAAGTTTTGGAGAAAAAACCTAAAAATGTAAAAGCTCTTTATCGAAAAGCACAAGCTCAACAAATGTTTAAAGACTTTGAAGAGGCTATTGAGACTTACAAAATTGTGCTTGAATTGGAACCTGAAAATAAGGTTTTTATTTTTTTAAATTTTTGTTTTTGTTTGAGAAATTCTAAAATTTGGAATTTTTTGGACCATTATTAAGGGTGTACTCAAGGTAATATGGGGGGCATCCCCTCCCGGAAATGGGGGAAATAGAAAAAATTTTATGAGAAAAATGATTACAAAGTATGGGTATAATTAGAAAAAGAAAAATTATTTATGTAGTTTTGAACACCAATTATTGCGTTTAGTTTTGACGAATCTTCCATTATTCTCTTCCCCAAATTTCAAAATAATTTTAATTGTTTTCAGGCTGCAATTCAACAAATTCAAGAATGTCGCCATCAATTGAATATTTTGAACGAGCGTGAACGAAAGAAATTCAAAGGATTGTTTGATCGTCTTGCCAATGAAAACCAGGAAGAAGGTAATAAAATGGAAGGAATTTGACAAGAAAAAATAAGAAATATTTTGAAATTGTTTTTTGTTTAAAATATTATTTTGATTATATTAAAATTTAAGTAAGATTCTCATAAAAATGTTTTTTCTAGAAAAGACAATAATTAAGTACTTATATTAATTTATTTATATCTTTTAAAAAATTATTTTTGTTTATATATAAACATTATTTATTAGAGAGTATTTAAAAGCTAAAAATTAATAAGAAAACATAAGGAAGTGGGAAAAGTAGTCAAATTTGGAGTTAATTAAAATTTAGTTTATTAAATTTAATTTCAAAAATTAAAACAAAATTTTTGTTTTTTATTTTAAAAAATTAAAATTAATTCATAATTTAAACTACAATGAAATAGAAAGTAAAAATTTAAGAATTAGATTTCTTTAAGGGTAATTTTCTCATTGTTTGACAAAATGTTCTAACTGTTTCAGCAGTTGAAACGCCGTCACGTTCAATTAAAATTCCTTTTTAATTTTCTTTATTTTAATCATTATTTATTTACCTGAATTTATTCCTCTAATTGTTGAAGGAGGTTTAACTGAAATTGTTGACCCAGTTGATGTAGAGGGCGGACCAGTAATTATTTGGTGGCTAGTTGGGACAAGACTTGAATTATTATTTTGATGTTCAGAAGGCTTAAATTAAAAGAAATTTAATTTTTAAATTAAATTACTCCAACATTTGTAATGGGTATATTATTTATTATTGTTTGTTGCCCACCCCCACCAATGTCAGTACTATGTAAATTTAATTCATGATTAGATGCTGCATTAGAAAGAGTAATTAAATCTCTACATCCATTTAATGAAACACTTTAAAAAAAGAATAATTTTTATTAAAGAAAAAATTTTGGAAAAAGTTTTGCCTCATATGAATACTTGGTGCAATAACCCCTCCAAGTTGTTGAGCACAAAGCACAGCATCGTGAACCGAAGGAAAGAAAAAATGTTTTGGAACGTGTTCAAAAGAGCTACTCAACTATAATAAAAAATAGACTAATTTTAATTTAAAAAATATTTTTTTGCCTTAAACCAATTTCGAATAGTTGAATTAACAGAAGCTAAAAGTAAACGACATTTTTTGTCTGCTAATTCTTCAAATAATTCACGTATTACATTAATTGCCTAAAAAGATTTTTGTTTCTTTTTTAAATTTTAAATTGCCTGTCCATCAATATAAGGAACAGAAGAGAAATCAATTATAAGTACTTTAGTTATTAAATTATTATTATTTGATTCCAATACTGCCCCTCCAGGATTTTCAAGATTTGGCTAAATAAGGAAATTTTAAATTAGAAGAATTAGGTATTTATTTAAACCACAAAATCTCCACTAATTAACAATGTTGAACGCATTTGAATAGAATCTTTATTGTGAATAGATCCACTAACTATTTGGGCATTTGTACTTTTCATGCTTTTCATACTTCCTGTTCTAGTACCGATTCCGATACCCAAAAGTTGACTTAAAATTAAACAGAAATTTTTTTATCTATTATTTTTCATTACCCTTTAATTTTAGCTGCCGATTCTCTAATACAAGCTTTAAAATATGAAGAATTGTGAAAAAGAATTGGAGCCTCAAAACGAACAACCGAAACCTTTTTAAAATTAAAAATAAAATTAATTATTTAAATATTCTCTCTATTACCCCAGCCTCATCCATTAAATCAGAACCTCCATAATAACAACGTTCAGCATAATAAGCACCCGAACCAGTAACATTTGTTAATTGTTGAAGACGGGGCCTAAAAATTATTTCAATTATTAAATTCTCTCTATTTTTTCTTTAACCATTGAGCACGAACAATAATTGTTCCGGCAGAAAGAATAACAGAACCAAAAAGTGCTTGTGATAAATTTGATGAAAAAAGGGCCATTAATGCTGAGAATACAAAGCTTAACTGTAAATTATTTAAAGAATATTTTTGACAAAGAAAAAAATTATTACAACGTCAAGACGTGAAATTTCCCATAAAAGAGGTAATTTAGCAATGCCTGTAAACATTGGACAAATTTCTGTTAACAAAATACATGATAGAACACACTAAAAAGATTTTTTTAAATTGAAAAAGATTCTTTTTTCTCCTTACAATAGGTAATGACTGAAAAAGTTTTGAAGACCAAATAATTATTGGAATTAAAGTCAAAACTAGAGAAATATTAGCCAAAATAGTTTTAGCTCCAGCACGGGTACCAATTGAAGTTCGAAGAGGTGAATGACCGGGAGGTATTGCAGACACAAATGTTGACAATAAATTAATTAAATTTAGTGAAATAAGTTCCTAATAAATATTAAATTATTAGAAATAATCGCCTTCCTTAAAAAAACTTGTCTTTCATCAATTTTATATTTATTTGTTTTTGATAATAAATTAGCGCTTCTTAAATGTAATACAAAAACAAAAAATGCAAGACCAATTGAATCAGTAAATAATTGACTAATTAATGAACGTGAAGGTAATGACAATAAAAATAATCTTTTTTTAAAAAATAAATTAATTTTAATAAAAAATATTTTTTATTTAGAGACTTTGATTCAGAAAAATTAATTGTATCCAATTGCCATTTTGTTTTAATATTTAAAATATTTGAAAGTAAACTTGCAAGAATTATCTAAAAATCTCTCAAATTTAAATTTAAATTTAAAATTAATTTACAAGTAAAAATTCAGAAGAAATAGCAGAACGAAGACGAAAACGTGTTAAAGGTCCAATTATTTGTCTTGTAAAAATAATTAAAAATATACAAAGTAAAGAAGCGGCTAAAGTATTTAAATTAATTGCATCAAAACATTCCCAAATTGAAGGTAAACACTAAAAGAGAAAAATACTAATCTTTCTTCTTAATTAAAAAACAAACATTATTTTCTGATTCAATAATATTATTTTTAATTATTTTAGTAGAATTTAAAAATGAAGAAGATAAATTTTGATTAATTAATGTTTGGTTAATTAAATGAGATGAAGTTTTCTTTGAATTATTTGGAACGTTTAAACGGCGATAATAAGCCCTTAAATTATTTTAAGAAATTATTTTTTAAATTTTCTCACCAAAGAATACAAGGAAAAGATGTTGTAGTTGCTGGAATTGAATTACTAGCAATTGCAATAGATGCTTGCTTTAAAAAGGAATTTAAAAAATTAAAAATTAAATATACTTTAATAGTTAATTGATCTGCTTCACAAATTCTATTTGATTTTAATTGAATTATATTACCCAACTGATTAAATACAATTCTTGTACCTAATCCAAAAGAAAATCCAGCAATTATTTGTTCAGAGAATAAACCAAAAAGAAAATCCAAACGAAGTAAATAAATTGCTGACTTTAAAATATTTAATTAATTTTTAAAGTTTAAAATTTTCGAAAATTGTCCGAGGGAAACTTTTTGTAGTTCAAGGTATTACCAATTTTTTTAAAAAAAGTTTACTCAGATCCTACCATTACTTCCAAAGTTTTTTTTTTAATTTTATTTTTCTTTGGATTAATTTGAAAATTAAAAGAATTCCCAGTATTGAAAAATATTTTTTAATTAAAATAATAATAATAAAATTTACATTAACAATTGCACACAAAATAATTGTTGTAGAGGCTACCTCTAATGGTCCATAAGAAATAATATTACTTCCTTCTACAGTAGTATTTCTCTCAATAATATTGCCTAAGAAAAAACAAACAGCTAAATTTGTGCCTTTAAAATATTTTTTTAAAAAATATTTTATAAAATTATTTTTTACCCATAAAACTAAAATTCGAAGTCCCAAAAAATAAATAAACAAGGGAAGAATAAAAAGTTGTGTAAAGACCACAAATTGGTGGTAAACCAGCTAAGAAAGCCATTGCTAATCCTTCAGCAGTTCCATGTAATGATAAAGCTAGTCCTGCACGAAAATCTCCAAATAAATCCTTGAAAGAATTTAAAAAATAATTGATGATTTTAAATTTTAAATTTAAGATTATTATAAGTAAATTATTTAAAAAAATAATTTTCCAACTTTTCTAAAGCTATATCGTTGTAAAACACGAATTATTGGCAAGTGAGTAGTTGGACAATGTTTTGAAGACCAAAGATGATCCCCTTCATCTGCATTACTTAATTGATATCGAGGCAATGGCAAATTAGAAACACCTCCACTTCCACTATGTGCACTTGCTAAACTAATATGTTGACGGCTGGGCTTTTGCCTTTGTTGTGGTTGTTGGGGAGGGATTTGGGGACGAACAACTATGGAGATTGATCTTTGGGCCTTTTTAAAACACAACTTATATTTAATTAATTTTATTTTTTACAGCTCTTCTCCAACAAAGCAGAGCACCCCCACATAGGTCATTAGCTACTGCTTGAGGTTGATTTTCCACAATTGAATCCTAAAATAAAACTAGTTTTTGATATAAATGGAACGATAAAATATGCATGAACTTGCCAATGAGTATCGCCTTTGTTTAGTTTTCCGTTCACTCGAGAAATTGAATTTTGTGTCAAACTCATCCTGTTTTTTAAAAAATACATAAACTTTAAATGTTTTTAATCCTCTAAGATTTAAAATCAAAAAAAGATGCCTGATTCATTGGAGCACGCCGTATACCTCCAAGTAAATGCTGATTTGAGGAATCCATTAAAAATAAACTTTATTATTTAAATTAGTTTTACAAATATTTTAACGTTGTTCTTTCATTTAAATAATATTAAATAATTATTTTATCCAATAATTGTAGAGAAGAATACCATAGTGATACTAGAGGTAAATCCCTTTTTAATCCATCCGTTCATTTAATAAAAAAAAAGAAGTCCCTCATCCATAAAATACATTTTATTTTCTCTTTGCTAGGCGACCATTTGCCAAAGAATATAAGCCAAAATTAATATTTAACATTACATTATGGAATAAAGATAAAATGCTTGCTTGGATTAAGATTATCAAGAAAAAAATTTCTGAATTAACCCAAACTTTTAGGCATGTAATTAGAGGGGTCCTTTGTAGTTGTTATGATAACAGTGATGGGTATTGAAATCTCTAAAAGTTATAATTTTGTTTAGAATTCACTAATTGTCAAAACAATCTTCCTTCGAATTTAAATAATTCTCAAAATATTTTTTTAATAAAATCTAAAGATGTTTCGGTAAAAAGGAAAATAAAAATGAGGGCCGATAACAGGAAAGTACCGATGTTTCTATTTAAAAACTAAAACTAAGAGTCCAAACAAGCGATGAGTTGTCAAGTGCATGGGAAACTAAGCAAAAAGTTTTTAAATTTTCTTTTAAAATTCTTTGAAGAATAAATTAGACTAATTGTAAGGAATAATAAATGCGAAATAATATTTTTATTATTAAAATTAAACAAAAAAAATTTGAGCACTTTAAAATAATAATTAAATTCTAAACAAAAAAATCAAAAAATACGTATCTGAGCGATATGGAAAAATCAAAAGCAATCCTTGGATAGCTATATATCATTGTTTATCTGAACAAGATGAAAAAAGGATACACTCTAATCTTTTGGGTGTTCTCCTAATAAACGATGAAGTAGGTGAACAACTAACTCATAGGTAAACATTGTTATTGCTGTATTTGGAGCTGACCGCAATAACTAAAAAAATATAAATTCAGTTAAAAATCCATCATTACCTGCCACCCTCCACTCTTAGAAATTAATATAATTTAAATAAAACTAGTAAACGCAAATTTGTATTAAAAAATAATAAAGTTGGGAAAGCTAAATACTTTTGCACCGAAAACAAAATGAAAATTATTAAAAATCCTGCTTATGGTCCAAATTTTGATTTAAAAATACCTGTACACTAAGACCACGGTAAAAGGGTTTAATGTATCCTTCACGCCAAAGAGTTCTAACTAACTGTCGTAGCCTTAATTGATTTCCTTCTTCTCTTAAACGCGTCCTAATAACTTCTAAAATATTTAAAAGTAATTTAAATAATATTTATTAAACCATGTGGATAAGCTATAATAACAGCAAATGTTTTTGCTATACCACCAGCCAACATAAATTGTAAAAAAGCTTGGTGTTGTTTGTCGGCATATGAACCAAGAAATTTCTGATCCGGATCACTTATTTTACTTAAAAAATTCAAAACATAACTAAAGAATGTTAAAGTTTTCTTTTACCTTCTCAAATTTTCGTAAATAACAAATTGTATAACCGTTTCAAATATTCCCAAATAAGATCCTGTCACGCCCTAAATATTAAAATTTATTGTTAGTATACTCACAAAAAGGAATTACCCTCCATAACCCTAAAACTCCGTCACGTTTAATAATTCTCAAGAAACATTCTTTAGCGCCTAAACGTCCATGATGTAATTGAAGACGAGTTTTAACTACCCAAATTGGATTTATTAATGTAGCTGCTATTAGACCTGTTATTTAATTCAAAATTAGTTTGTTTGAAAAGAGAAAATTTAGATACTATAAAAAGTAGGACTGTCAGAGAAATGTAAAAATGTGGGTAAATGTGTAGTTTTATATGACACTTCTTTTTTCTCATTTTTCCATAACCCCAGAAAAAATGAGGAAGAAGAGCTTTTCCGATATTTTATCCATACAAGCTTTATATTAAGAAATTCTACCTCCTACGCCGGCGGAGAACATGTGGATAAAAGCTGAATTTGGAACAAGCCACCTTCTGTCTATCTCGTCATTAGTTTCATCTCTGCTGCAATAATTATTAGAGATGCGCTTTGTAAGAGAATAAAAACAAAAATAAATAGCTCTGAAAAAGCACATTTAAAGCAATAATTTAGAAAAAAATTTACTTTGAAGGGGTAACACCAATAAGATTAGGTACAAGGCCTTTGAAAAGTGCAGAAGTACCGCCTTCCTTCCAAACAGAACGAATTGCCAATAATGAAAGCGGAGGCCAGTGGGCACGAAGTAAACGCTTTGCGACGGAAAAACGAACAAAAGACCCTGCCAAAAATTATTTTTCAATTTCAATCGTCTATAAAAATACCTGCACTTTTGCTGCTGCTAGGACCGGGTATTGCTGCTTCAATTAAGGGTTTCTTTGCTCCTTTTATTGCATCTTCTCTTAATTGTCGATAAATCAAAAACCCTTGAGAGCTTTGCATTCGTGTTTTAATAACCTAAAACTTTTTCTTAAAGCATAAACCAAAAATAAAAACCTCGAGGGGACAAGTGAGAGCTGTACCAGCAGTTCCACCAACGGCACCACCCGTAAAATGAATGAAAGCCTAAAAAAATTTTTTTCCTTAACAAAACAAGTCTAACCTCTTTCAATCCACCCGTATCATTTTGAGCCATTAGAGATAAACAAATAAATAATGAAGGTTGGGGGATCCAGTGTCTAAAATCGAGAAGGTAAATTATTTATTCAAAAAAGCTGCAATTCTAGTTTTACCCAAAAACTGAAAAATTAGAAAAAGTACGTTTCTAGACGATCTTGGTACTTATTCTCCAATATCGAAGATTCAAAAGAAAATCTAAAATTCTCAGTTTCGTTATATTTTGTTGGACTAATTGTAAGAAAAAATAGCACCTAAAAATTAAATGAGAACAATTTTAAAAAGAGGATCTAGAATTTACATTCCTCTTCCTACGTCGTTAAAGCACATTTTAATTTTAGGTAATAAATTAAAAGATAACAACAATTATATAAAAAATAATTTAACTAAAATCATTTATCGAATATTTAAATTTAATGAAGGGAATTAGCCAAATTAAATTTTAATTTTTGAAAAGCCAACAAAAAACGTGTTAAAATCAAAAATTATCAAAAAAAAATTTAATTTGACTATAACCCATTAAAGCAATAAGTACATGTCAATTTCATAAAAGATCAGAAAAATAAACAAAAAGCAAGTAAACCAGTCAAAAGTGAGCCTTGTTAAGTTAAAATGAGGCAAAAAATTATTTCAATAAAAACATCAAATATGTTGCCCTGCCCATTCATCTAGACAGTTGAAACAAGCTAAAAATAATTTTCTTTAAGGAATGATAAAAATTCTAAAACCTGTTGCGTGATGTTGGCTAGCACCAACTTCCTCTTTTAACCATTCCACAAACAAATCTTTGTCCTTCCTTAATAACAAAAATTGACCAAACAAAATATAGGCCTTATCAAAGCCCTAAAAATGAATAAAATTTGTGATTTAAAAAATATTCTGAATTTACCTTTTCTTCCAATTTTTTGCCATAAACTGGCCCAATACCAGCAACCGTTGTCACTTCCTTGTCACCCATTGGTTCTGCAACAAAATCCCTGTGTTTTACAGAAGTCGACATTTAAATTAGATTGTTTTTTTAACTAAATAGTAAAACAATATTTATTAAAAAAGAAAAACACTTTAAAACACAAAAAGAGAAATGAAAAAATGTTTTAAACAAAAAAACCTAGAAGAAATCCAATTTACAGGAAAAATAAATTAAAAACAAAGTTCAGATTTTCTGCTCTCAATCAACCAAGTCTCTTAAAATTTGGACTTTTCAGTGCTTAAATTCAGCGTCTCCTTTCCCTCTTAAGGTCAATTTAATTTACTGCCCGGCCAAAAGGAGAAGATTCTGAATCTCTTAATTTTGACAAGTTTTTGTATTTTTTTTTATTTTAGTGCAATGTTACATCTTTCTATTACAACAGACAAAAATGAATTTCCATATCAGGTCCGTTATCCTGCAAAAATGGCTTTTGGAGAGTTTAAAGTTGTTAATTTTGTAATTTAATATTTAAAAAAATTTTTTTAGATTAAACTAGAAATGGTAGTAGGTATTTATGCACAAGATATGAAACTTGAGTTGCATTCACCTAATGGAAAATTTTGCTCAGAGTTGGTTGGAGATGATCGAACTTTGGAGGAGGTAGGTTAAAATTAATTGTTTTAAAAGTAGTAGTATACTTTCACGTTTTTATTTCATTGTAGATGGGTGTAATTGATAATTCAATCATTCATGTGCACGATGTTTCACAGAAATTGTCTTCATTAATTCCTCAGGATTCAAATACATCAAATGTTGAACATTATACAATTCCTGATGAGAAGTATTCTGCTAGAAAAGGCAATTTATTTATATTTTATTTTTTACATTATTTATATTTTAGATACTGCTAGAAAGTGGAAACAAGAATTTTTAGCATCGAAAAGTTCTTTCTCTTCTCCACCAAATTGTTCAAATCATATTGTGAGCAGTATGCAGGTTAGTTTTTGTGTTTAATTTATAATCTTTTCATTTAAAATTAGGTTGGGAAACGTTGTATAGTTCGTACAAGTGGACAAAAACCTCGTTTTGCCAAAATTGCATACATTGGACCTACACATTTCGATGCAAAACAAGAAGCTAGTCGGCCAAATAATTGGGTTGGAGTTATTTATGAGAATCCAGAAGGGAAAAATGATGGATCTTTGGACGGGAAAAGGTTTGTCGTCAAATGATATGTCGAAATATTTTTATTTTTCCTTCAGATATTTTACTTGTAGACCTAACTATGGTGGGTTTGTTCTTCCAACATCTATAGAAGTTTTAGAGGAAGATGGACATTTTGTAAATGATCAAAGTGATGATGTTCAAATTGAGGAAATTTAAAGGAACAATTTAAAAGTATCATTTTTTGGGGTTTCGGTCCCTTTGGAAACCATGGTTTCTATCATTAATTTCCTTGTTCATTATTTTTTTAGCCTAATTTAATAAATTATTTGACAATTAAACGGAGTTTTTTTCTCTTTTAATTGTTTTTTTTAATATTACTTAATAAAATAATTTAATATCAATTTATTCTTTCTAGATTTATTGTTATGCTTCCTTTATACAGAAGTAGGGAATTAATTGCTTATTTTCTGAAAATTTCTACAACTTTTTCTCTTCCTAATCTGTGTTTCTGTTCCTTATCTGTTCAAAAGGAGAAGAAACTAATTCCTTCAGATTTTATTGAAATATATAATAGGGATCAATGGTCATTGGAAATCCTTTCAAACTTTATTGCAGATTGTAATATTCAGCCAGACTTCATCTCACAAGGTTTTAAAGCATTTGGATAGTATCAAGGGCATATATGGGGGAGGGGGGGGACTTGACCCTGCATACGCCCTGTTAAATTTATTTTAATACAAAATTTTATTTTTAGATGAAGAATGTCAACTTTTACAAGAAATCGAACCTCATATGAAAAGAATGCGATGGGAGGAAGAACATTGGGATCAACAAATTCATCTTTATCGCGAAAGAGAACAACTCAAGTAATTGTTCATCATAAAACTAATATTTTTTCTTTAGATGGAATACAAATAATCAAAAGATTGTTGAAAGAATTTGGAGAACTTCATTCCCAAATTCAACGAGAAAATCTCCTTATGTTCATATTTTGGATTTACATGAATGTGGGTTTATTAGGCCTCATGTGGATGAATCTAGGTATAGTAACTTATTATTGATAAAAAAAGGGACAAAAAACATAACTTTTCCCAAAAATCTTTAACAAGTTAAGAGAATTTCGGAAAAATAATTTACTCCATTTAATGATTCCCAATGGAGAGATTTTTTATTTAAAAATTATTCTAAAGATATTGTGGTGGAATAATAAGTGGCTTATCCTTACTGTCTACCTCAATAATGCGGCTTGTTCATACAAACCCTCAATTGTCAAATATATACAAGGCTGACTTATTACTTCCAAGGCGCAGTCTTTATCGACTAACGTTTGAAGTTTTAATTTTTTAATTAAATATTTTAAAAATTATAGTGGTTTAGCCCGTTTTGAATTTACTCATGAAATCTTAGCTAATGAAGAGAGTAATTTTCGTGGAAAGTATGTGCCGAGGCAAAGGCGAATTTCTGTTATCTGCCGAGAATTTCCAACATCTCAAAATGATGTTACGTCTTCAAAACCAGAAAATCAAATGAAAATAATTCCACAATCAGAATAATTTCATTTAAAAATTTTTTTTTTTTTTTTGTAAAATATTTAAGATTTGTTCAAATATTTTTTTAATTATTAATTAAAATAATATTAAATATATTTTTTTATTAATTTTAGATCATAATAATATTAGAAAAATAATTTTTAAAAATAAAATGGAAAACGCCAAAAAGATGGTGCGTAAAGCAGCTAAACTTCAACAACACCAAATTATGAAAATTCTACAGCCAACTTTAGATGAACGACTAAAGAATATTGGTTCAATTTATTTTTTTTATCAAAACATTTTTTAATAAATTAGGACCTACCTGTAGTTCTGCTGCAGATATTGGAGAAGGAGCGCTTGATGGATTTCCGGATGCCTATTTGTTACAACTTCATCCTGAGTTGTAACACATTTTAATTAATTAAAGTTTAAAATTCAGGGACCCTCCCTATTTGTTTGAATGTTTTTGGGCCACTCGTTTGAACCGTGAAGATGCTGATTGGGCGTTCCAGTTGTTCAGAAGGAATATGCTCGAACTGTCTGCATCTTCAAAATGATTGTTATTTTCAATTTAGTTTTTTAAAAGCTATAAAAGATCGCGTTGGGGCTTTGATGAAGAACTTAAACAGCGTGAGCTAACTGCGACTGCTGCACGTTTCTTCATTATTCGCGCTCGTATTCATCACTCCCCTTCTTGTCCATGTTCTTCTTCTTCGGATACAAGTACCACTGTTCGACCTGTTGCTTATGCACATTTTCGGTAAATAACTGAATATTAAATAACCTTCAAAATTTTGGGACAGTAAGAATAAGTTTTCTTGAGGCTTCCCTTTAAGTTTCCTTGTAACCTTGCCATAATGCGTAATGATGCGAGTATCAAGGGCTATCTTCCCGCGGATCAAATCCTTCTAAATTTTACACACCTATAATTTGTGGGCACGGCATTGAAAAAGGGAGGGTGTAGAATAAGGGTACAACTACCAGAGGGTAATAGTCGGATGAAAAACGAACATAAATTTCCTTTTTCAGTTTTGTCGAAGATGATTCCCGACCAGTTCTTTATTGTTATGAGTTACAAGTAGAAAAGGATTATCACCGCCGTGGTCTTGGCACATTTCTTACCGAAATAATGGAAATTATTGGGAAAAGGTATAGTCGGTTTTGTGTTACCCTTTTTTCTCATTTTTTCATCTCACTTGAAAAAAGAGGAATGAGTGCTTCTTCGATATTTTAGAAGTTTGCCAATATCTAATTATGTGTGCTTTATTTTTTAGTACTAATATGGATGTGGTGATGTGTACTGTATTCTCTTACAATGAAAGTTCAATTGATTTCTTCCGCAAGAATGGTTATGACAATGATCGGACGTGTATTTATGGAAAGGATCGTTCAGGTGGTTGTTTGGGTAGAGATTATTTGGTGTTAAGCAAATCATTAAATACTGAGAAAAAAGAAAAGGACGGGAAAAAGAGCTGATAATTTAAGGATTACACGTATTTATATAAAAAAATATATTTTCAATACTTTTCCAGAAAAAGTATTGAAAGCAAGTTGAAAGATGCTTAATTTATTTACTAACTTTACATGTTTTCTTAAATATTGTTTTGAACTTTTTTTAAATTTATATTATCTGACTGATAATTTTTTTGGACATTTAAATAAATTTTACTCTAAAAATTCTAGTCGTAACGGTTTCCGTGGTAAGTCCATTACTCGTGAGAAGTAATGGAGCTTTTCATTTATGAGTAATTTAGAAAATTTTCTGTCCCATTTATGAAAAAGGCTATTCGATTTTAGCATTTATGCAAAAAAAAATTAGTACATATTTTGGAAAGAGGAATGCATACAGTTAAAGCTCTTATAATCTTGTCATCAATCAGTCTTCACAAATGTGGTGGTTGAAAGTCAGGAAGTATTGTGGTCCCTTCCAATGCTGATGCTATTGACTGAAAATCTTTGTTTATTTAATACCAGAACTAAAAAATACATTTAATTCCACCAATTTACAAAGCAATTGCGCCATTAAGATTGCCGGTTCATGTGTTTTATTGTCAAACCTCATTGTCAAATCCGCTAACCATTCTGAAAGGAAAGTTTCTTTAAATCGTACCCATTCCGGTAAATCCTTATTTATTTTTGTTTGTCCAAATTCTTGTTGGGCTTAAAAATTTTTTTGTTAAGATTAAAATAAATTTATAAATACTAATATTCCAAATTGTTACAGCCATCATTGCACAAATATCCTGCTGTTTAATGCCTTCTGGAAATTTCTTTAAGTTGCTAATGAATTTGTAGTATTTCTCCATTAAAGGCTTTTTCAGACTAATTTAAGTAAAATAAATTTTGTTTAAGGTATTAGATGAACCGAATATATTCCTCAGGATTAGGTTTGTCTTTTGCCAATTGTTCAATAAACCCGTCTAATTCATCGATATTAATAACATAACCAAAATTGACAACAAAACGGTTATCCTCAATATCAGGGAATTGGGAAAGTGTTAAATAACAGGAATGAAGCATTGTAAATTGTCTATAGCTACAATCAAGAATTGTTAGCTGTAATTAAGAAATGAAAAAGTTAAGGAATAATAATTAAAACTTGACCTTTGTCTTATTTTCCATTTGTGAAAATATCTGAAATCCGTCATTCAACATTGTAAAATACAAAGGTTTTGAATCTGATTGAATTTGTGTAAAATCGTCAATATTTCCAGTAGCAGTAACCTTAAAATTAAAATATTTAAATAAAAATTATTGAATTACTTCATGAAGTGAACGTTGTCCATCGATGAAAGAATTATAAGCTCTAATTATCTTGGCTAGATTGGGTGCATAACTGTCATCAAACGTCTTTCCTATAGGTGTATTTGATGAATCCATTTGATCCTTTAAAGCAAACCGAAACTACTGAATACGCCATTTTTATTTACTCCTCAAAAATGACCAGAAAAGAAAAATGTTCTTTTTGAGGACAGAAAAATGAATCAGTTATTCAGCAGTTGCATCAAATTAAATTTAAATAAAGTTAAATAATTACTTGTAAATCATTTTGAAATGGAAATGATAAATCTTTGTCATTATCTTCAATAGAAGAAAAGTTATAATTCATCCCAGCCTGACGACAAAGACGTAAGCGACATGCTTTGCAAGCATTTCGATGTCCTTCTTTAATTGAAAGAATAAATTTTTTTAACAAGTAAATTATGAAACCTTCACGAATATCACATTTATTTGTTCCTCTAAGACAATTATAAGTACGATTTTCAATTACACACCTTCTAAAAACAAACAATGTTATAATCGTATTTTTATATACTGTTAAAATTGAACTATTACCATACATAATTTTTTATAACTTACATCAGTTACCGTAATTGTATTAGAGACCGGCAAAATCGCACTTCCGGGATCCCGAGTCGGGATTTTTTTCTTAACCGATGCCGGGACGGGATCCCGAGGGAGTAATCCCGAAAAAATCCCGAATTTCAAAAATCCCGAAAAAAATTATCCGGGATCCCGCCCGGGATTCGGGATTTTTTTCAAAATAAAAAATTTGAACTTTTTATGAATAAAGTGCATAAAATACTGCAATTTATACTAAGTAAATAAAATTAAATTTGTAAAAATATCAATAATTTTTTATAATTGGATTGTCCTCCTCCTTTAATTCCCTCTATAATAGATTTAGAGGGATATCGGTGGATTAATCACTAGGTTACTTGATAATATCCCACTATGTATTAATATTCCTTCACTTTACTCCAATAATAACTCAAAACGTATCCATTTTCAGCGCCGCAAGCGAAAATTTTTTAAATTTTGGATGATCCTTAAGCCAAAAATCTTCCTTCTTTGCGCCGCAGGCGAAAAGTTCGAGAATTTCGGAGTTCCTTAAGCCAGATTTCTTCCTTTTTCAGCGCCGCAGGCAAAAATTTTGAGAATTTTTAGAGGACAAGAAGCCATATTTCTTCTTTTTTCAGTGCCGCAGGCGAAAATTTTGAAAATTATAAAAATCCCGAAAATTATAAAAAAATGTCCGGGATCCCGAGTCGGGATTTTATTTTTTAACCGATGCCGGGACGGGATCCCGAGGGAGTAATCCCGAAAAAATCCCGGATCCCGAATGATCCCGAAAATCAAAAAAATCCGGGATTTCGGGAGCGGGATCCCGGAAAATCCCGTCGGGATCCCGTCCCGCGCCGGTCTCTAAATTGTATCTCATTGAGCTAAAGAGATTGGTATCAAAATTGATAAGGGTCATAAATTTTCCAGCTAGTTATGGCGTTTTTACTCCTCTTAACCCTTTTACTGACTTAAATTATTTTTGACAAGAGCCTAACAAATGGACTCCCTTTCATTTTTTATTTTTGAATAAATTTCAATTTAAACCTAAAGAAAGCAGCACACGGTCGGCAGGCAACAACACCGAAATGACATCCATGACTAGCCTGAGCACAAATAGCACATTGCAATTCTGGTAGAGTACCACAACCAGTCGCTTTCATATTTACACCTTCAGTCAAACAAGGGGGGCCAATTTTGTCAAAAAAACAATCAAGTTTGGAAATTACACTACGCCAAACTAACGCTCTCTTTTAAAATATTCTAAATTTGCATACAGAACATTTGCAATAAATCCTTAATCCTTTTTAATCTGCATATGTAATTTAATAAAAAATTTAAATTTACAATAAAACAGATTTAAAAATGCTTTCAAATTTATCTAAAAATATTTTTACAACAAGAATTCATACATTACACATAAGATTTGCGAGCTCTTTTTCTGACCGACCTACTTTATTGACAATTGTAGATAAATCTGGATATGTCAAAAAGCCAAACATTGTAAAAATAGGAACATTCCAGGGTGCTGGAGGTGGAAATATAGAAACAAAGCTATCAAATAAGGTTGGAATAGGTCAGTAATTCCAATAATCTTTTCTACTTTAATAAAATTTTCAGGTAGTGAAATTCGCAGTATTTACAAATTTGGCAGATTTTGTGGTTAAGGCTACTGCTGCTTATTTGACTTTGAGTAATTCACTTTTTGCTGAAACTCTTCACAGCTGTGGGTTAAAAAGAATATTTAAAAATTTTTTTATTTAAGTTTTGGACCTTATAAATCAAATAATTCTATTTCAAGGTAATTTTTCGAATAGAAAAGTTTAAATTGAAATTTTAGGAAATAGAATTTCTACTAAAGCACCTTGTGCAGACTTTCCATATGGCTATGGAAATATGAAATATGTATTTCTTAAATAATTTGTTTACCAAGTATAATTCTGTACTAGATATGTTCTTTAAGTTCTGGATTTGGTATTTTGGCATTTGGTTGTGGTCTTTCAGTATATAATGGAATTCAAGGATTTGTAAATCCTGGTGAGCTTGAATCGCTCTCATGGGTTTTATTATTTTAAAAATTATTTACAATTTTTTTCAGGGAATTGGACTTTTATTTATTTCTGCATCTTTGCAGTGTGCTTCCTTTACTAGAGCATTTTTTGAAGTCCAAAGGCGAGCTCGAAATGAAGGACTTTCTGTGAAACAATATTGTTAGTTTTTTCCCTTTTCTATTCATTTTTAAAAAAAATTTAGTGGTAAGTGCGGGTGCTGATCCAAGTATAAAGGTTGTTCTGTTAGAAGATGCTGCATCAATAACTGGCGTTTTGATTGCTCTTACATGTGTATCACTCACTCATGTGACTGGTACTACAGGTTTTGATAGGTTTTAAATAATGAATAATTTTTTAAATTAATTTAATTTTTTGCTAGTTTTGGTTCAATATTGATTGGTTTAGTACTTGGAACTGCTGCATATCAAATAATTTGGGCAAATGCTCTTCATTTAGTAGGACGGTCATTACCAGAAAGTAAACAAAGGCAAATAATTGCTTACATGACAGAAGATCCAATTATTAAGTAATTGTTAGTTTAGATATTTTTAAATGTTTTGATTTTTAAGGAGAATGCATGATGTTAAAGCTACATATATGGGTAAATATTTTATAAAATATTAGTATATATTTTTGGGTTATCCAATTAATTTTTGAAAACTTTGGGGGCAGGAAATGTTTTTATAATTATAAATTTAGATGTAAATGATTATCGTTTCAAAGCTGAAATTGAATATAATGGACGTGAAATTACAAAATTATATTTAAAAGAGGATTGTAATATGGAAGAATTACAGCAACAAGTCTCAAAAATTACTAACAAAAAAGAACTTGAAGAATTTATGCTTTTGCATGGTGAAAAACTTATTGACAAGGTAAAGAATTTTTAGAAAAATATTTTTTTAAATTTATATTTAAAATTTAAGGTTGGGGATGAAGTTGATCGTCTTGAAAAGAAAGTTAGAGAAAAATACCCAGAGTTTCAACATATAGATTTAGAATCATCTTGACTTGTCAAATAAAATTTGAAAATTTTTTAAATGTTTGGGACAGTTTTATTTTGTATTTTTTTGTTCATAAAAGTAATTTCACTTAAAAAGTATTTTTGTAAGAAATTTTTTTAGATAATTTATAAAATTATTTTCTAAAATATTATTTTACTAATTCTTTTTATTTTTTTGTTATGGATTTAATTAGTTACAATGATGCTAAAAAATTCCTCGATGATTCTCTAATTGAGGAATGTATTGAACGCAGACATATTACTTTGGTTATTTAAATTTAATTTTTAAAAATTTTTGAATTTGAAGGGTTGGCAACATTCTGGCAATATTGGGGAATCAATTCGTCGTTTAGTAGAATCATCTATTGGACAATTTAGGAAACAGTTAATTTTTGTTTTTTCCCTTTACTAAATATTGCTTTTGTTATTTTTGGATATGCTCTAGCTGAGGGGGCATAAAATTTAATATTTTTTTAAATACGCTTGTATCTATTTTAACTTTTCCCTCTATCCCTCCCCTTTCATTCAAATTTTTCAAATTTAATTTTTTTCTCAGAATATCTGGTGTTCCAATAGCATTGGGTACAATTCGACTACTCAAACCAATTTATATTTTGGAGGATCATAATTGTATGCATGTTGATTTTGAAGTACAAATGATTGTTTTAAAGTAAAAAATTTTTAAATTTTTAAATTTTGATTTTATTTTTTTTTCTATTTTAAAGAGTACAGCCGGGAGGTGAAAAATGTGATGGTGAAGGAGAAAAAATAATTACTTGTAAGGCAAAACAAGTATTGAAACATGGAGTTGTTGGAACTGTTTTTGGCAATATAGGAATGGTAAATTTTATTGTTATTGGGGGAATTTGATTTAAATTCCTTAAAGTTAAATTCCTCCCCCACTTAAAATGGGGGAAATTTAATTTAAAATTTTCCGGGAATATTTAATAATTTTTAAAATGTTTCTTTCAGGTTTGTTCACCAGCACCTCATGGAATTAAAGAAAACGATGTTTTTAAAGCTTGTTTTATGGGTGTAAAATTTAAAAATTCGATTTGTCAGGTTCAAACAATTCCTCTATCCATTAAAAAATTTAATAATTAATTTATTTTTATAAATATATTTTTATTGAATAATTAAAATTAAACGAAAATTAATTTTGAATTTTTTTATCCAATTTTTAGTGTTTCCCCATTTCTCAAAGAAATTTTACATCATTATTTAACTTGGATGGCCGTAGCCACCTTACCTCCTGGCTATGGGCCTGCCCTTAACTCTGGGTGAGTATGGCTCTCTATTACCAAAAATTTTTTATGGGAATAAATTAACCTGTTGCAATTAGGAGTAGTATCATTTGTACTTATTTTGAAAGTGCAGTGCTTTACAAGTCTACCTTCGTTCTTACGAAGTTGAAAATTTACAAATAAACTTTGATTAGACAAATAAATTTAACCATAAATCTCTTAAAATTTGCACCGGCGGTGCAGAAGAATGAATTTTTTAGGTCCTTCTGTCCAAAGAATTTAGAAAATTTTTTATAGAGTACTTATAATTGAAAAATTTTTACTATGTACTTATAAATTGGACTTTTTGTACTCAAGCTTTAAATTTTCTCGATGCTAGCCCTGTTTTAAGATTATCTGTTTAATTCCCCAATCTACTTTATTTTTTTAAATTTAATTTTTCATACTCCACTACTATAATTTTAATTCTTTACTCTTATTTAGTGTTGTTCAAATAAATAAAAAATGGTTATTATTTTTTAAGAAATTCTTCACTTAATTTCAGAATTATTCATCAATCGTTCAGCTCGAGTTTCCTTTCGATTATTTTCTATTTTATGTTGTTCATAATCACATAGATTTTCGATAATATTCTTATTTTTTAGAGACGGATCTAGTATTAAAAATATTTTGATTAGAAAAATTGTTACCCGATAGTTTATTAGACGAGTTTAAGGCTATAAATCGAGGAGAGCGACGTCTTCTACCACCACCTCCTCCACCGCAACAACAACAGCCTTTTTATTAAACAAATTAAAATTTTTATTATTTTTATCTATATACATGGTCTGCAACAACAACAGCAACATCTACAACAACATGGACATGTTCTGTAAATTGATATATTAAAGAGCTTTCTTATAAATTTTATTCAATTAAATTCCCTTTAAACCTTCATGACTATGGAGAAATTTAAATTTTTTTAATTTTCAATTGAATCTTTTCAGTTTATCACGAATTTTAATTATTTGTCACTCATTACCTCGGTAATTTAATCAACAAAGGAGGGTTACAACATTGACAAGGTCCAACACAGGTACATCCACAACAACAAGGCTTACTTTAAAGGAATTTTTGTCAAAAAAAATTTAAAAATAATTTACCAACAACAACATCCACCACAACAATTTGCTTCAACAAAATTTTGCTTTTCTAAGAAAATAGTGGAAATTAAAATTAAAGGGAATGTGAAATATTTAAGAAAATATAAAGTTGAGGAAAATAAAGACATTTTAAAAATAATTTTATTTTAGTAATTATTAGATGATTTTAATAATAAAAAGTGAAAGTAATTTATATATTTAAAATTATATTTACTTTATATTATCCATTGTCCACAAATTACGCAAAAAAATCAAACAAAAATATAATAATTCCAAAAATAATTTTAAAAAATTTCTTCATCTAATATAATCTTTGTTTTTATTTTTTTGTTTTTCTTTATGCGCAACAATTAAAAAGTACATTATTTATTTATTTATTTATTTATTGTGGCCATTCTTTTATCTCTCTCTTATTTGTTTTCATTTATTTTTTTTAAATTTTCACATTCAAAATCTATTGTTCATTATCTTCACTTTCATTAATTTATTTTTTAAATAAAAAAACGAGACTTTTGTCTATTAATATTTAATCAATATTTAATATATCCCAATTTAGAATGAAAAAAAGAAGCGATTGAAAAAAACTGGACAGATACTGCCCAGAAAAGGAGGGAAAGAGGGAGAGGAGAGGCTACTAAATCTGATGTTATCTGATTTTTAATGAGTAATTAAAAAAAAGAAAATTAAGAAATAAAATAAGGAAAGCTAAAATTTAGAGACAAACATTTTTTGAATTAAAACAATTAATTAATTAAATTCAAATTAATTATTTATTATTAATGTGCAAAATCAATTTTCAAAATTAAAAGGCGGGAAATGTTGAGATTTCTATTTTGTTTCCGCCGTCGAGGATTTATTTATATTTTACTTAGAACAATGTTTTATGAAAAATATTTACCTTTTACTTTATTATTAATTTTACAATTACATATGTTATTACCTTTTATTTATAATATTTTTAGTTTAATTAATGATGATTTTGAAAGGTAATTTAAATAATTATTTTAATAGAATTCTTGGATAAAGTATGGTGTACCGGAGGCAAGAGGAGCAAGCTTACTCCCCCTATGGTTTTTCGATTTTCAGGGACCTATATCTCGGTCCACAGGCTTTTCATCAACTAGAGAGTGGTACATTTCGACTTAGCTCATCGAAACGAATTGAATTGTGTGTGTTTTGTACCTTCGGTATACTGAATTATATCTAATAATTTTATTAAAATAATATTAATATTCCTTTTTAGTGAAATTGGTAATACCTGTGATGAAAGTGAACCGGTGAAAATATTATAAAATATACGTTGAACTCTTCCATTAAATTTGGCTTTAATGATCCTTTTTTCAGACATTTTTTTCTCTTTTTCTATTACTCCCAAAAATTTAAATTAATGAGAAGAGTTACTACTAACTTTACTTTAATTATTTATTTTTAATTTAATTTAGATGGCTTACAATATAAAAATATATAATAATGCCTCAAACACCATTCACAATCTTAGAGGGAAAAAATTTGATTGTCGTCTTATTTCAGTTCTAAAAAAATTTCAATTAACAAGTCAAGAAGAAAAACCTTTAGATTTTATTGTTATTTTATTTTTATTTTTAAAAATAATTTAAAAAATTAAGGCAGAACCCCCAGGTTCTTCAGTTGGAACAATTTTTATAACTGCAGCAAATTTAAATTTCGTCCCTTCACTTCGAGCTGTTATTGCAAATATTAAAAGGGCATTTGGTGTTAAACAAAAAATTGTTGCCTATGATTTGGGGGGAATTTTAAGAAATAAAGTTATTGTAAGGGAAATAATTTAAAGAAATAATTATAAATTAAATTAAAAAAGATGAGAGAACTTGGACAAATATGTAATTTAGAAATAAGAGAATTTAATATTAAACAATTACCTAAAAATGTACGTGGAATGAAAACATTTTCATGGAAATTGTTACTTTTTGCGGTAATTAATTAAAAATAAATTTGAAGATGAAAATGAAATTAATTTGTCTAATTCCTATTTTTAATGTTAAAATTGAAGAAATAAATTGAGAGAATATAATATTTAAAAATATTAATTAATTTATTTTTAGCAAGCTTATTTAGAATTTGATTCATTTATTTATTGTGATACTTCAGTGCATTTTATTTCAAATGATTTTAGAGAACATTTTAATCTAATAAATTCGGGTAAAGTAAGCCCTTTCCTTTTTGGATTAGGTACTTATCACGGCATTAAACACGCAACTTTACAAGGTATTTTGAAAGAAATAAACTTTAAAAGAAATAATTTTTAATTAGAAACATTTGAATATATTCCTTTATTTAATGGGAAACATTTTGATATTGAAATGCAAGAAGCTAATTTTATTATTGTAAAAAGAAGTGAATTTACAAGAGAAATTTTAAAATGGGCATTACTTTGTGCATTTACTTTGGATTGTATTGAACCTAGAAAAGTTCCTTGGGATTGCCCTGAAGAAATTTTTTATAGTAATAGAGTTTATGGTTTATGCCATAGAATGGATCAAAGTGTTTTAAGTACTTTAATTTATAATGCTGAAGAAGAAATTGTTGGAAAAGGTTTGAAAAAAGAGAAATTAAAAATTTAAATTAATTTTAATTTAAAGGAAATAAAAAATTAATTAGGCATTATGATTTCCTTCACCCTAGTCATCGTCTAATTAAACATATGTTGGTTAGGAGACAATGGAATAAAGAAAAAATGGCAAAATTATATAAATGTTAAAAATTGTGATCTTAAATTTATTTAAATGGTTTTTCAAAATTTTTAGAAAATTTGATATTTTTAATAAAATAATTGACATTTCTTCAATTTTTTAAATATCAAAAAATTTGACAAAATATCAAAAAATAATTTAATTTAATACTTATATAAAAAACCCCAACTTGTCCCTATTTTTGGGGGTAAAATCCTTTCAAAAAAGTCCTGCGCCCCGGCCGAAGGCCGAGGAATTTTTTCAAAGGTGGATTTGTCCTGTAACTTTTTGCGCTCTATTCAGGAAAATTATGACCTCGGCGCTGAAACGTCGTTTTCGCACTGAAACGGCCATGGGTGGTTTTTCAAATGGAAATAGCGCGGAGGGGTGAAGTGTGAGCAAAAAGTGCTTGCTGGGAGGAACTCCAGTTGGGATATGTACTATATCGTAGGAAAAATCTTGGAGGCCTGGGATCAACGCCTGAGGCTGTGGCCTTGGCTAAAAATTGTACATCTCGTCCCAAAATGACACATGGTGTCCGACGAAAATCACCGACAATTTTCAAACTATATGCCTATCGATAGAGCTCCATGAGTAGGTTCTGGAAAAATTTGGTTCAAATTTTTCTGACCATTTTGGGTAAAGTTATGAGACTCAAAAGGTCCAAAATGTCCCGAACCCCTACCGTGAAGGGTGGCTCCCATCGAGTGTAATTATAAAAGTGGTTAAACTTGGGCAAACGGTTTCAACTCTTTTTTGGCATAATAGGGCACTAAGTGTACTACAATTTTGTTGGGGGACACTTGAGTCTGGGATTTTTTCCTGACATAGTTATGGGCACCAAAGTGACCACGCCAAAACCGACTTTTTAACGCGTGAATTGAAACTCGATTTTAGTATCCTATCTTGTAGAGCGTCCTTTGAAACCTCTAAAAATATATACTTTGTTGGGGGTACACTTGAGTCTGGGAAAGTTATAGGGCAAAAAGTGGCATTTTTGGGGCAAAAATTGGTCGGTTTTTTGAGTGTAACTTTTTTTTAAAAATTTTTAAAAATAAACGGAGTTCGGATTCGTGTTCAGCACCCTTTGGAGTACCATAAAACATATTTTTCTCGAGGTCGAATTTTTGACCCATTTTTGAAGGGGTACCCCTTTTGAAATTTTTTGGTGAAATTTAAATTGGGCATAACTTTGTATGTTTTTGTCATAGCCAAACGAAATAAGGGTTATAAAATAGAGCAAAATATTACAAATTTTTTGAGCTATTTAAATTTTTGAAAAATTTAACCCGAAGCCTGGTAGGGTCGATTTTTTGAAAATTCAAAATTTTTCGGTTTTTTAAATTTTCTGGGGTATATCGAGGCTGAGGGTGGTTGTAAATATTTTTATAAAATAGAGCAGAATTTTTACTATATATTAAGCTTTTAAAATGTTTCAAAAGGGTCACTTTTTGGGGAGTTATGAATTTTTGAAAAATTACGTGAATTTTTCGGAAGAAATTTTCGGCCAAAAAAATTTTTTTTGGAAAAATCGAAATATAGGGCCAAATTTTATATCAATCGAAAGCTCTCATCAAGCTGAGCTTAAAAATATTTTTTGCAAAATTTTCTGACCATTTTGTACAAAGTTACAAAAGGTCGAAATTTCGGGTGAGGGGGGTTTGGGGGTCGAAGGCCCCCAAACGGCGGGCCGGAGGCCTGCCGTGCGAGGGCCGAAGGCCCGAGCGCTCGATGCCTAAGGCCGAGGAGTTACGGCGAGGGCCGAAGGCCCGAGCTTAAGATCCATCCCAAAATGGGTCGCGAGGGCCGAAGGCCCGAGCTTAAGATCTATCCCAAAATGGGTCGCGAGGGCCGAAGGCCCGAGCTTAAGATCCATCCCAAAATGGGTCGCGAGGGCCGAAGGCCCGAGCTTAAGATCCATCCCAAAACGAATAGCGAGGGCCGAAGGCCCGAGCTTAAGACCCATCCCAAAACGAATCGCGAGGGCCGAAGGCCCGAGCTTAAGATCCATCCCAAAATTAATCGCGAGGGCCGAAGGCCCGAAGCAATGAAAAGGCAGAGCTAAACTTCACCGGCGATGGCCGAAGGCCCGAAGCAATGAAAAGGCAGGGCAATCTTTACCGTTTCTAGCAGCGCGCGAAGCGCGCCCCAAAGCCGTTAGGCTTTCCAACGGGCAGAGCAAAATTTTACCGCCAGAGTATCCTAATAGGAATTGCATACGTAACTTACCGCCATACCCCAATGGGCACAACTAGTTAAATTAAAAATACAAAAAAAACAAATTTTCTGTTTAAAAATAGTAAATTAACGTTTCTCTCTTTTTATTTCTTTTGATGTTCTAAACAAAAAATATTATTTAAAATCAAAAATTATTTTCTTTCACCTCATTAATTCAACTTTTCTTCCAAATTCTTCAATTAACTTTCTCTTATTTAGTGAGGGTAATTTTTCTGATTTTTTGATAAAAACATTATCTAAATTATCATTTAAAAAGAAAAATTCTTTTGCTTCTTCCTTTTCTCCATTTTTTATTTCTTTCCTTGCATCAGAAAGTAACTACAAAAACATTAAAAAAACCCATATTAATTATACAAAATATTTTCTAAAATAAAATGCTTACAACTGCAGTTGAATTATATTGACCTTAAAAAGTAAAAATATTTAAGTATTGAGAGGATAAATGTTTGTAGATTACCCAAATGGAAGGGTTCAACATCTCCGTGTAAACATTTATGTAAAAATTCTTCAATAAAACCAGCCATTGCAAGAGTATTGTGTGGTTTCCTAGGTCCATGCCCTTCATCTGGGAATACAATATAAGTAACTGGAATATGATTTTTCATTAAAGCAGCAACAAATTGATCTAAAAAATATTTTTAAATCATCAGAATTTTTAAAGACCGGATTCAGCTTGTTTAACTCGCGGATCATTAGCTCCATGCACAATCATTAATGGATGTTTTACTCTATTTGCAAAATATAAAGGTGAACGGCTTTTTAAATAGCGACGACCTTAAAAAGAATTATTTCTCATTCTAATAAAACTACTACTAGCCTTCTTCTGTATTTTTATCAGCACCCAGCATTGTTGTCATATCTTTATAAAAACCCTATTTATGAAAAATCATTTTTTGTTATAATTTTAATTTAAAATTTAACCATCCAATAAGGAGGAATTGTTTCTAATAAAGTAATTAAATTTGATGGTCCCACAATATCAACTCCTTAATATTTGCTTTAATATATAGTTAAACAGAAAAAAACTTGCCACATGCAAAAATATCCGGTGTGAACTTTAAAAATATTATTTAAAGAAATTATTTTTGATTAGGATGTTGTTACTATGAGGCTAATATATATTTAAATTTAAATAAGATATTTTTTTCTCTTATAAAATTAATAACTTAATATGTCTTGAATTTCAAAAATATTTTTTTTCAAAATAAATTTTAAATTAATAGTATATATTTAATAATAACTGTCATTCCAACTAATGTTGCATATCCTCCATAAGACCCTCCCATTATAGCTATTTGTCTTTTATCCGCAATTCCTTTGAAATAAATATTTAATTTAATTATGTATTTTCTCCAAAAACCATTATGAACAAGAAAATCAATTCCATCTAATAAATCTTGATGCATTTTACGTCCCCACTCTCCATTACCAGCATTTGTTAAATTTTTACCAAAACCAACACTTCCACGAAAATTAACCTTTTATTTTTTAACAAATAATTAATTTAAAATAATTTCAAAAACTTGTAAAACAGCATATCCTCTACTCGTTAACCAAGCATTTATAGCGGCAAAACCAAAAAAATCTCTCAATTTTGGACCTCCATGGATTAATACAATGAGTCTTTGTGGTTTTTTCGGTAACATTCCTTGACGAGCTAATTCTAGCCGATCACCGTGTAATTGTGCTGGGCCCAACAATGGAGTCTTTCAAAAATAAAATAATTAAGAACAAATTATTAGGATATTGTTTGTTTAAATCTTTTAGTTCTAAATATATTTCTCTCATTATTATTATAAGGATTTTATTTAACATAAATCTCTAATTTACTAATTAATCAGGCAAAAAATCCATTCAATATTAAAAATATTTTGTAAAATTACTTGAGGAGGCAAACTTAAATATGCTTGAATTCTTAATCCATCACGAGCAGAATAATCAAAGCCAATCATTTTACTCAATTTACGGCCAGTTAATTCTACATTTAATTTAAATATTTAATAATATGTATACTAATGATAATAACCAGGTCTTGTAGTAAATAAATATTCTGCTCTTTTTTTAGAACGTCTATAAATAAAATATTCAAATGGCTGATCATCACTTATATAACTAACAAGCCAAGCATCAAAATCCATACTTAAAATGAGAGAAATATTTTAATTTAAAAAAATTAAAAGAAAAAAGCCTCATGCATTCAATTACAGGCGTTCCTGTTGGCCTTAAATTAACTAAATATTGCATATCATCCTAAATAATTATTTAAATTGAATATTTATTTAAATATAATTACTAAAACAGTTGTATTAGCTACATAAATATCTGGTTTATGATATATTTCAGTTACAGACAAAACTGTTCTTTCAATTGGATGGAAAATAACACCTAAATTAAATTAATCAAAAATTTTTTAATTAGAGAGAAATACCTCCAATTTGTGCTTTTTGTGCTGTATAAAGAACTTCATTTTGTTCAGGACGTCCAAAATCATGAACAACCAATTGACCTAGATCCTATAAAAATTATTTATTTGAGATAAATTTTAATTTAAATTAATTGGAATGAAAAAATAATAATGAAGATGCCCTCTAACGAAAAAACAAACTATTTAAAATTTTGTTATTTACTCTAAACACTCTCAATAAATACATAGGTAACTCTTTTAAATATTCATCATCAGAATTTATTTTAGTAAATTAAACAAGTACATATATATTTACTAACAGTGTCAGCTCCCCATTGCCAATAAATTTTTTGATTGTCTTGAGTAAATGATATTGGCCTAAAAATTAATTAATTTATTATTTATAAACTAAAAACAGACAAAGTTAAAGCTCTATCTTCAGACGGAACACGTAAATATTCAACCCAATTTAACCTATCAGAAGTTAGCCTTGAAGGATTTGCACTATCAGAAAGTCTAAAAAATAAATATTAATTTTAAATAAATAAATTAATTTTACTTATAATAAACAAGAGATCCATCTAAAGCTTCCTCAACAACCATTCTAATTTTAAGATTATTGTCTACAACAATTTTTGCTGGAAATCTTTGATTGTGAAATATCTTTAATTAATTATTATATTTCAAATTAATTTTTAAAATTAATTACCATTCTCATTTGATTATTAATTAAATCAAGTTCATAAATATTATGAAAAGACGGGTTTTCATCATTAAGACCAATAAGAACTCTATGATCACGTAAATTATTTCCAATAATTAATGCCTAATATAAAATTATTATTATTTTTTCAGACCTGTGCATGGATACGGATATGGATACAGATGAGTTCAAAATGCCTGCGGATATCCGCCTGTATCCGCCGTAAATATCCGGATATGGATACGAAAATCCGTGTCCATGCACAGGTCTGTATTTTTTATTCTTAAAAATAACTTTAATTCCGGGTTGCTCATTTACTGTATAAACTGGATTGAAAGGGGAAGGCTAATAAAATTAATATATTTAATTTAAATAAAATTTCTGAAAATATTTACATTTGTTATATTAACTTTATAAAGTCTAAAATTTTCATCTCCATTGTTATCCTGATGAAATAAAATTATATTTGGTACTCCTGTCCATTGATAACCTTTTAATTTAAAGAAATATTAATTTGTTAATAAACGATAGAGATTGTTTTTCAAAAAAATTTTTTTAAGCAATATATAATTAATCTAACCACTAATATGGCGGCGATTTTCAAATGTGACAGGTTTACTATATTTACATGAGTGACATTTTGTATAAACATTGCTAATACCAAACTAGAAAAAATTAATCTTATTTAAATTAAATAAATTACTTCATTAGGTGCAAGAAAAGCAACAGTTTTTCCATCAGGGCTAAGTGTAACTGCAGAATATTTTGGGTCATTAAATAACAAAACTCTGGGTATTAATTGGGCACACGATAATTGTTTAAGAATTAATGACGGCAAAAAATATAAAATTAAAGAAAGAGCGAAGGAAAACATTTAAATTTAAATTTAAGTATCTAGAAAAATAAATGAATATTTCTTCCTAAAAATTATTAGCTCTCCCTACAAAATAATTAAATACTTTTAATTTTTGAATTTTAATTTACAATCTTCAACTTTATTCTTGTTTAATGTTAATTTAAATATATAACCAAATAAATAATTAAATAGGAATTAACAAATAAAAATCGGGAATGCGCAAATAAATACACATATATTGGCCAAGCTTTCTCTTCTTATTACATGTATGGACACTGTATGGACACTGACCTTCTACTAAATATTTATTTTTAATAATTGATTGAGCGAAAAATATTAAGGAAAGATTCTTTTTAGGAATATTTTTATTTTCAAATTTTCAATAAAATTTTTCAAATAAATTAAAAAAAAGAGAAGTCTTTTTTACTTTTAAATATTTAAATATATAAATGTAACAATTCAGATAAAAATTAAAAAGTTAAAGATCAATTTAGTACTTCAATTTTTTTTCAAATTTATTTTTGTATTATTTTGTGCTACCTAGTATATATTTTTTAATTTTTAAGAATTTGCTCCTTAAAATTTAATAATAATAATGTTTTGTTGGCACTGCACGGTGCGAACTATACAAACTTTGATTTTCTTTATTTTTGTTTGTTTGTTTATAAAAAAATATTTTTTCTTAAAATAAATAAATAAAAATAGATATTTATTTTTAAATTTTAATTAAAAAAACTTTTTTTAATTAACCTTTTTTAAATTTATTATAATTTTCTCTTCCAGTTTTTAAATATATCTGTGATGCACCTTTGAATATTGGGTTATAAATAATGATTCCGGAATAATATGTAAAAATATTTTTTTGATTTTTATCTCTTCTTATTTTTAAACTTGTTTATTTAAAAAGAAAAGTGGATTTTATAAATAAATATTTGGGGTGTTATTTGTAAAAACACTTAGAGAAAGCATCTCTCCCTCTCCTTTTAAAGCATCTTTTTTAATTTAAAAAAATTAATTATTAAAAATATTTTTCCAAATTATTTTTCTAAACAGTTTAGAATTGTAAAAATAAAATTCTTCAAAAGAAAATGGGTGGGGGAAAAGAATGGTGGTTTATTCGAATAAAAGAAAAATTGTCAAATTATTTTTTAATTAAAAAACAACAAATAATTCAAAGATTATATTGGCATTTTCCTTTTTTATTTTATTTAATTAGTTTTCAATCAATTAAATTAATTATATTAATTATTTTTATTGTTATAATTTTTATTTTTAAAATTATTGGAGATGAAAGTAAAAAATATTTTAATTTTAATTAATTTAATTAAAGGTAAACATTTAGAGGAAATATTGAGGATATATGGAGATACTAAATATTTAACTATTAGTCTTGAAACTTCTGCAGATAAATGTGGAGGACTTGGAAATATGGTTGGTAGTTGATTTAAAAATAAATATTTCAATTTAAAATATTTAAATTTAAATTTAATTTATATCAAAAATCATTTTAATGTTAATTAGTGGGTACACCACAAGGTACCCCGAGCCCAAGGTACCGCAAAGCTATAACTTCGTTCAGAATTGACGAATCTGGGATGGTTCGATTGAGCTCGTCGAGGCACATCGAACCATACCAGGGCGCCACGGATTCGACAATTTTTAACACAGATATAGCTCGGCGGTACATTGGGCTTGCCGTACCTTGGCCTGCTCCCTTAATTAGTAGTTCACCCTATTAATTCCCCCTATTAATAAAAAAATAATTAATTTAATTAGATGTGGAGAACAGCTTCTCTTTATGTAATTGGAAAACAATTAAATCGTTCTATTTATTTTGATGGCAACTATAAATGTATTTATGAATATAAAGAAGAATTTCGGGATATTTTTGAAAATAATTATAAAATATTTAAAATTATGGTTATTTTAAATTATTTTAAATTAATTAATTTTTAAAAATTAAAGCGTCCAAAAAAGCAACATGTTAAACTTGTTAGTTTTGCTGAAAAGTGTTGTCATTATGATTCTCCAGATAGGTGGGTGGAGGAATTTTATTTTAAAAATTAAAAATTACAATAACATCTTTACTAATTTTTCTATTAAATTTTTAGTCATTTCCAAATTTTATTTTTATTAAATCTTCTCTTTTAATTTTTACTTTTTAAGCATTTATTCTACATATTTTATAATAAATATTAAATAAAATTTTAAAATTTAGTTTGCAGGTTAACAGACGAATCAGCACAACTTATTAAAATATGGGGAAATTATTTACAATCATTTAAATATTTGAGAAACTACAAAAAACAAATACGAAAATTCTTTACTTTTAGCACTCAAAATAAATTGAAAGCTTATCAATTTGCCCAAAAATTGTTCAAGTTATTAATTTTTAACTAAATTAATTATTTTTATAATTTAATTTAAAAAATTTATATGTAATGCTAACTAAATGAAGTGAAGCCTAATTTAAATAAATCATTTGTAAAGTACAATTTCCGCTATCCTAAGTTGAAAATTAAAATTATAACGGGATAAAAACGCTCGTATTTTTTCAGAAAAATGTATGTTCAAAATAATCTTATTAACGTTCAACAGTTTTTAAAAAAGTTAACAAAAATATATATTTTAAATTAAAAAAATTTAAATTCATTAAATTTTGTTAAAATTTTAATAAATTTAATTTCATAATTTTAGCTCTTAATTACAAGGAATATCCAAAATTTTATTTATAAATGATTAATTTAAAAATTATTTTTAAGCTCAAATTAGTACCATTTTAATATCAAAATAATTGATATTAAATATCCATTTATGCATTTTACCAGTTAAAAATAATTATTTTTTTTCAGAAGTCAATCTATTATAAATAAAGAATTTAGAATTTGTGTACATACACGTAGAGGTGATTTTGTTGAGTTACAACAGTCAACAAATAAATATTTCACTGAAAAGGCTACTTCGTATATTATAAATTCTGTTAGGGTATTTTTTAATAAAAATAATGTTATTGAAAAAAAAATTTATTTAAAAATAGAAAAGATATTTAAATGTATCAATTATTCTTTTTGGAGACGACAACAATTTTCTGAATCATATTGAAATAGCAGATAATGTGGTAAATTAAATTTTTTAAAATTTGAGGAGGAACAAAAGAGAAAGGGTTAAAAAATTAGGAGATTTTATTCCATTTATTCCCACTCACATTTTTAGACAATCTACACACCAACAATTAGAAGTAGAGCTGTAAATTTATGTTTTGCTATTAATTATTGTAATTCTTTATTAATAACTGCCCCAACCTCAACTTTTGCTTGGTGGATGGGATATTTATTACCAGAAGGAAGTCCTATATTTTATTATAGTTGTGAACGTAGTTGTCGACATATTTCTAAAAAAGATTTTTTTCCAACTGAATGGCTTCCACTTACTTTAAATTTTGAAGGAAAAATTGAAGTTGACGATAATCCATTTTAATTTTATTTTATTATTTTAATGGACACATTTATTCAAGTTTTGGTACTCTAAAAACTCACCCGGGTGGAAATAAATGTTACAAAAATATACATAAATGGGGACTATGTATATATGTACCAGAGGTGAATGGAAAATAACGAAGGTGACGGAAATCGGAATCCCAATTCACCTCTGCTATATTTGCATATATCCATTTTTGTATAAACCGGAAATTCCCCTAAACTCTCAAGTCTAAACCACGACATTAAGAAATTACGCTAAAATTCTAGACCAAAACGCTATAAATGTGCTAAACTATTTTAATTTCTCTTTAAAAGCAAGATCTTATTTTGTTAGAAGTTGTACTAAAATTAAATATTAAAAAATTATACACAAATTATTTGAAATAAAAATTCTGTTATTTTCTTTCTCACAATCAGAATTTTTTCTAAACAAAATTTTAAACTTTAATTAATTGAAAATGGTTTTTAATTTATTTACCTTAATATCAAAATTAATTTTTTTCACAAAATATTTTTATTTAAAAGAATTAAATATAAAAATAATTAAAAAATAAATTTTTAAATTAATATGTACAAATAGCTTCGTTTTGAAATTTACTTTTAATTAAAATATTAATTAAAAGATTATTTTTACGTAGTTTACTCCAAGTATTTTTAACATTAAAACAATTTGCCCTAACTTTTTTAATATTACATTTATGATAATTCCAACATTTACTTTCTGATTTGTCTACTAAAACTTTCATTCCCTTTTAAAAGACTTAATTTAAAATTAAAAAAATTAAAATACTTGAGAATTAAATCCCAAACATTTATTTAGTTCAACAGTTAAAGCTTCAGATTTGGGTAATTTATTTAATAAACTGGAAAGTTTATAGCGACGAACAAAAGCTGTAAAGTTTAATTCCAAAGGCCTTGTATCTTCAATACGTCCATCGAGTCTATACTTCTTTAAAAAATATTTTAAGAAAATTAATTATTTCAAAGTATTTTAGGTAATAAACACAATCAGTATTTTGTGTTAATTTACAATAAAAATTGCAACTCTAATACTAACATTAATCAAAATATTTTCTATAAAAATATTTAAATAAACTAACAGAATAATCTCGAGCATGTATTATATATGCTTTATCAAGTGGAATTCGGATTTCAGTGTAGCCTTAAAGAGATAATTAAAGTAATTATTATTAACAAATAATTACCATCCTCTACTCTATTAGCCCAATGTAAATCAACCCCATATATTCCTCTATTTGGTTTGTAAATAGCTTTTCCATATTTTTGCCCAGCAAAAAATTGTTTATCTTTTGTACTATATTTAATTCCTTGTCGCCAAAAATCTGTCATCCAATGTCCATTAATATTCATTTCATCTACACTTGATTTAAATAAAATTCTTTTTCAAATTAAAATACCTAGAGATTCATGATAACCCATATAACGGTCAATTATAAAAGTATTAACTTTTGGATTTTGTTCAGCAAATTTTTGGAGGATTGGATAATAAGGAATATTATAATTTGAAGTAAAAAAGAAATCATCCCAATCTGGAAAAGCAATAAATTCTGCACTTTCTTTAAATTCGTAAAGACAATCTTGAAAGTTTGTTAATTGATTTTGCCATGAAGTTTCTGAATTTGGATTATAATCTAATTCTGTATTTGTTGAAGGCATCTGGAATTTTGACAAATATTAATTATAATTTTCCTACGCTTCCTAATAGAAAGAGTTTAGCAAAAGTTAAGCCATCGGGCAGGGTTCGAACCTGCGACCTACTCGTAGTTGCTAGGCGTTTTCGCTCACCACATACAGAAGCACTACAGCAGAGCTACCGAGGCATGGACTAATGCTCTCTTTTATCCTAATATTAAGTTAAATATGTATATTGGATTTGGATTATAATCTAATTAGATAATCTTTATTTATTTTTAAATTATACAGATCGAGTCTTTTAACGTTTAATTATAAAACAAAATATACACACCTCCAATGAAGGCCTTATTTGAACCAAACCACTTTTTTCATATACTTTAATCAAATTATAAACTTGAGCTTCTACACTTTGTATATAAACAACTACAAGATCAACTCGATGTAAACGATATAATTCCATTGTTGTTATAAATAAATGCCATTGATCAAAAGCAAAAAGACGGCTTGGACACGTAATAAACTTTTTGGGTTTATTATCTGCTCTTTGCATTTTTATCTAAAATATTTTTAAATTATAGTCTCGATTTGAAATCTTGCATACAGAACTTTGATACGGGTTTTTAATTTTACTCCCCTATTTTGACTGGTGCAAAGTATGGAAACACTTTAAATTAATTTTTGAATTAATAACAGGAAAAATCTCAAAAATTTAAACAAAACTTATTTATCGTTGCAAAGGGCAAATAATCATGAACTAGGTCCATATCTCATTCCAATATCTAGATCTCAATAGCTCAATAGCAGAAACATTATGCGAGGGGCTACAACCTCACATATGTTTTGTGAGGGGCGCAACACAGGTCTCCCCTATGGTTTTTTAGTTTTCAGGTGCTTGTATCTCGGCCCAAAGTTATTTCCATGAACTAATTTTTGTGCCATTCGCTCAGCTCGACGAGCTCTTTTGTTTGGCATATAAAACATTGGTGAAGTGTTTAGCCCAAATTTAAACCAATTTATAATTACATTAAAATATTTAAAAGTAAAACTCGAAAATGTAACATATTATACAATAAAATTTACATGAAAAGGTTCAGCCTGTAAAGTTAAACGTATAGCTACATCTATATCTTCAATATTATCATTTTCATTAATTGGCAATTGTGGACAGAGAAGTCTATAAACAGAAATTTTGCATTCAAAATCTGGTCTTTCTCCAATAATTCCTTCAATATAAGCCCTTCTCCAAGTTCTAACTCCATTTGGATTATATATTATACAAACAGCCCCATTCCTCAAACGGCTAATTGGAATTTTCTTTTCAGCATTAAAAATAACAATTGTTGATTTTTCATATTTTGTCTCATTTCTTTTTTAATTTAAAAATTATTTTTTAAATTAATTTTTAAAATTTACATTGTAATATAATCATAATAAAAAGATCTTGTTATAAATATATGTATTAAATCATTATTTATATTTATTGTTGTCCATTTATAAATTAAATATCTTCCAAAAACAAAAATATAAAGAATAAATATATAATTAGATGATTTTGTAATTTTATTTAGCCATTGCTTAATTAATCGTTTTTTAAAAATCATTGAAAATAAAGCTAAAATAAAATCAAAAATAATTCTAGCAAAGGTTTGAAATAAAGTAATTGCCCAAACAATTAATATCAATCTTTCAGTTTTTGGGTGGGGGGCTATTTGAAATGAAAAAATTTTACACAAATACAATCCTCAGTCTTCTATTTTAAGAAAAATATTTAAATTCAAAATCAAATATTTGGAGAAGTTTAATAATTAAAAATACTTTTTTAAAATTACCTAAATAAAATGCAACAAATACGTATGGAACTGAAGATAAAATCTCCGACTAATTTAAATAAAACTTTTTCCAAAATTTAAATGAAATGTAGAACGGAAATCTAAATTTTAATTAAATCGTAAGTTTTTTTCATTCCGAACACAAAAACTAAACAAGAGAATGTTTTTTTGAATAATTTTTAAATTAGCATAAAAATTCTGTTTAATTTTATTATTTTTTTAATTTCAAAATTAAAACCTTTAAAGCGGAAGAAAGATTAAATCATTAATTAGAACAGATTTTTTGTTTCATTTATAAATAAATGTTCCTTTTATTTATAAATTGCAACAATTTAATAAAAAATATAAAAAAGAAAGATTTTAAATAGAAATAAATTTATGAACGAGACAAGTCCGAATTGTCAAAATTACAGATATTGGGCAACTAAATCTCCTCCTAACTAAACTTCCTAAATATTTCCAACACCCTTCTTCTTTAATGCTAAGAACAATTACTTGCAAATGGACTAATTCATTATATCCTTCAATTAAATAATTTAAAAAAAGGTGTAGCTAAAACCCTTTACAAATTAACAAAAAAACTGAAGGGATTTTAATTAAAATCCCCATCCCAAAAATTAATTGGCCGATAAGTTTCTAAATATTGGTGGAAATAAAAAAACTGTATCATTTAAATAAATAATAAATGTATTTTTATATATTAAGTGGATTTGATAAAAAGAAGAATTTTTATCTTGATATTTAGAAAAATAAAAATTGTTTATTTATAAATAAATGTTCCTTTTTTTAAAATACAACAATTTAATAAAAAAATACAAAAAAGAAAGATTTTAAATAGAAACAAAAATTGTAGTAAAAATATTATTTAGAAAAAAAATTATGCCTGGTTTTGGGTATATTGAATATAACTTTATTATTCAAGGTATATTCATTGAATATACCGAATCAAATAATCTTTATTATTATTATTAAATATATTAAAATTTGTTTTATTTTTAATATAAAAATTTATTATTTTAAATTATTTTAAAAATTTTAATTAAAATAAATTAATATGTACAAATAGGTTCTCTTTTATAATTACTTTCAATTAATATATTAATTAAAAGATTATCTTTAATTAAATCATCAATTCTTTTCCAATTATTTTTAACATTAAAACAATTTGCCCTTACTTTTTTAATATTACATTTATGATAATTCCAACATTTACTTTCTGATTTGTCTACTAAAACTTTCATTCCCTTTTAAAAGATTTTTAAAATTAAAAATAAAAAAATACTTGAGAATTAAATCCCAAACATTTATTTAGTTCAACAGTTAAAGCTTCAGATTTGGGTAATTTATTTAATAAACTGGAAAGTTTATAGCGACGAACAAATTTTGCAAAATTTTTCTCCGAAGGATTTGTGTTTAAAATACGTCCATCAAGATTAATATTCTTTAAAATTAAAAATATTTTCTTTCAGAATTATTTAAATATATAAATTACTAACAGAATAATCACGAGCATGTATAATATATGCCTGTTTTAGAGGAAGTCTCATTTCTGTGTAGCCTAAACAAAAAATATATATATTATTATTAAATTATATAAATTTAATGTTTACACTACCTAACCAAACTCTCATAATTCTCTCAAATCCTCTAATATCCTTCTTAATCCCCTTAGTAATAAAATAACTAAAGAAATAGGATTTATGTATTTTTTAGTTATAAATTGGAGAGTTGGAGTGCCTTGGAGGGTTGGAGGCCTCCCTCTTCAGTTGGAGTGCCACCATCAAAATAGAGGTGGCTATCCTTCAAAAATTTTTCATTCAATTGGAGCGTCCATCTAATTAAAATAAATAGGGTTACTTAAAATTACCATTCTCTACTCTATTAGCCCAATGTAAATCAACTCCATATATTCCTCTATTTGGTTTGTAAATAGCTTTTCCATAAAAATATTGAGTATCTTTTGTGCTATATTTAATTCCTTTTTTCCAAAATTCTTTTATTTTATGGCCTTTGATATTCATTTCGTCTAAATTTAATTAAAAATATTTTAAATTTAAATATTATATGTATATTTTTTCTTTATCATTTTTTATCATATTATTAAATATGTAAATAATTTTTTAAATAAGTTTAGACTAATTGGATTCTACATTTTACTTTAGAATATTTAAAAAAGGATTCTGTTTTACAAATATTAGTTCTCAATTAAATCTAGTACATTTAACAATTCCCTATTAATTAAACTTCTTAAGGAAATATTAGTTCTTCTTAAGGAAATACATACACTGCGCGTCATAACTATACGTCCACCCAAGATTTTGGGTTTATCACATTAAATCGTGATAAAATTAATTAAAATATATTAGATTGGATAAGAAGATTCTATTCTTACTAAAACTTAAGTAAGCATTCAAGTATTTATTCAACAAATAGTGATTTTTAAACAATTATGCCAAAACTTGCGCGTCATAACTATACGTCCACTTTTATTTTTGACATTAGGGGTGGTCCGATAAATTTACAAAAATTCCTGTAAACAATAATTGCTCTCTAACAATTAAATATTCCTCTAATAATTATCCAATCATTTTTCTTACAAATTAAACCATCAGGGCCCTATTTCAATTGTCCACAGATTCTGCGGTCTGCGTTCTGTGCACAGACCACAGAACCACAGAAATTCTGTTTCAATTATTCCACAGATTCTGCGGAAAAAGAAGTCCGCAGATTCTGTGGAAACATGCACAGAATCTGTGGAAACATCCACAGATTCTGCAAAACATCCAAAAACATGCAAAAACCACAGAATTCTATTTCAATTATTTTTCTGTGCACAGAAAAAAATCCACAGATCTGTGGCTTTTTTAGTCGATTCTGTGCATTTCTGTTTCAATTATTTCTGTGGTCTGCGGAAAATACACAGAATTCTTTAAAAAATCCACCCTAAAATTTTTTCTGCGAACTTTCTGTGGAAAAACTTTAACAATTTTTTTCTAGGCCTAGGCTTAACCAAATTTCAAAATTTTTAAAGATTATTAAAGTTTGAATCATTCTCTATTTTTTGATATAAAAATTATAATTTTATTACCTAAAATTATTGCTTAAAATTAATTTTGAAAAAGGTACATCTTTTTTACGCAGTTTTTGTTATATTCAAGCAATAAAAAAATAAAAAACGTGAGAGATTCTGAAATTTAGAGCTATGATGTTCTAATCATCATGGATATCTCTAATGAGGGGATGTTTACCAGGATCTATAGAAGATATCTGTATAGCGTATACTGGGATATCTCCCATGATCTCTCATTGATATCCGTCATAATCTCTCCTCCTATTTAATGATAGATTTCCTCCTTAATCACTCCAATATATTAAACCTCAAAATCAATGGATATCCCACTTAATCACTCCTCTACGATTTTAAAGTTCCGATTTGACTATAATTTTGGATTCCAGGCATTTTCGATTTCCAGGAACCTCAATTTCTGACTAAACAATCCCCAGTTTTGTAACATTTCCCTCCCTTGCAACAACTTCTATCGTAGTTTGAAAAAGCCACATGTCGGATCGACATCTCCTGATTTTTCCGATCCGAACCCTGCTTTAGGACATTAATTTAATTGGAGATTTAAGGATATTGGATGAACAAGAAAATTAAGCGGTATATCAGCGGTTTTAAAGTGATATCAAAGAGATTTAAAGGGATGTTATGTGATTTGGAGGGAAAATTTTTAAATCTTTACAATATTTTTCAGTTTAATTTAAGAATTTTTAAAGTTTTACTTCAAAAAATCAGGTACCATTAATACTGCGGTAGTACCGAACTGTCCAAACCATTTTTCGTTTCAATAAAACTGTTATTTTCAAAAACGCGGAAATAAAAAATTTGAATTTAGAAGAAAAAATACACAGAACCACAGAAAAATAATTGAAATACAAATTCTGTGGATCAGTGGAAAAAATCCACAGATTTTTATATTTTCCACAGAAATTTTCATCCACAGAATCTGCGGAATGTTTCCACAGAATCATTGGATGTTTCCGCAGAATCTGCGGGCACCACAGATTCTGTGCACACAGAATTTAATTGAAACAGAATTTCCACAGAATCTGTGTTCTGTGCACAGAATGCAGAATCTGTGGACAATTGAAATAGGCCCCAGGTTCAAAACTTCCTATTTTTCCTTTATGAGTTCGAATTGTTTAGTTAAAGGATAATTGTTTGTGCCTTTATTTTCGAAATATAATTTAGACGTATTAAAATAAAATAAAATTCTTTTTCAAATTAAAATACCTAGAGATTCATGATAACCCATATAACGGTCAATTATAAAAGTATTAACTTTTGGATTTTGTTCAGCAAATTTTTGGAGGATTGGATAATAAGGAATATTATAATTTGAAGTAAAAAAGAAATCATCCCAATCTGGAAAAGCAATAAATTCTGCACTTTCTTTAAATTCGTAAAGACAATCTTGAAAGTTTGTTAATTGATTTTGCCATGAAGTTTCTGAATTTGGATTATAATCTAATTCTGTATTTGTTGAAGGCATCTGAAATTTTGACAAATATTAATTATAATTTTCCTACGCTTCCTAATAGAAAGAGTTTAGCAAAAGTTAAGCCATCGGGCAGGGTTCGAACCTGCGACCTACTCGTAGTTGCTAGGCGTTTTCGCTCACCACATACAGAAGCACTACAGCAGAGCTACCGAGGCATGGACTAATGCTCTCTTTTATCCTAATATTAAGTTAAATATGTATATTGGATTTGGATTATAATCTAATTAGATAATCTTTATTTATTTTTAAATTATACAGATCGAGTCTTTTAACGTTTAATTATAAAACAAAATATACACACCTCCAATGAAGGCCTTATTTGAACCAAACCACTTTTTTCATATACTTTAATCAAATTATAAACTTGAGCTTCTACACTTTGTATATAAACAACTACAAGATCAACTCGATGTAAACGATATAATTCCATTGTTGTTATAAATAAATGCCATTGATCAAAAGCAAAAAGACGGCTTGGACACGCAATAAACTTTTTGGGTTTATTATCGGCTCTTTGCATTTTTATCTAAAATATTATTAGGTAAATTAATGTTTGCGTCTTGTCATGTTAAATTTTCCTTGTGATGGTTTAGAAAATAGTATACCTTCAGAAGGAAATAAGTGGTCCTAACAGGTTTTCTGCTGCTCTATCCATTCCGATGATCCTTTAATTACACTAGAGTGTTTTCGAACAGAAAATTTAATTTGTAATAACCAATCAGGTGCAAAAGTATGGACATAGCGATTTCCATACTTTTGTACATGTCTACATATTAATCATTTAACACCACAATTTAGCTTGTACTCGTACTTCGTACTTACTCGTGCTTGAGAAAAAAGATAAATTCTAAAATTTTTATGATTTTTTGGAGTCTACAACATTTAGTTTAAATTTAAAGTGTCGTATGCGATAATTTATGAATTTCGGAAGGCTTTTAAGCCATAAATCCTCCTATTCCAAACCTCCACGGGCGAAAATTTTGAGAATTTTGGAAAATCGTCGTACGAATTTTGCTAAGAGCTTGACACAAACTTTTTGATACAAAATATTAATTTAGAGAAGGATTTTGATAATCAAAAAATTTACATGAAAAGGTTCAGCATTTAAAGTTAAACGTATAGCTACATCTATATCTTCAATATTCTCATTTTTATTAATTGGCAATTGTGGACAGAAAAGTCTATAAACAGAAATTTTGCATTCAAAATCTGGTCTTTCTCCAATAATTCCTTCAATATAAGCCCTTCTCCATGTTCTTACTCCATTTGGATTATATATTATACAAACAGCCCCATTCCTCAAACGGCTAATTGGAATTTTCTTTTCAGCATTAAAAATAACAATTAAAGATTTTTCATATTTTGTCTCATTTCTTTTTTAATTTAAAAATTATTTTTTTTTTAATTTTTAAAATTTACATTGTAATATAATCATAATAAAAAGATCTTGTTATAAATATATGTATTAAATCATTATTTATATTTATTGTTGTCCATTTAGCACGCATTAATAAACAAAAAATAAAAGAATATAAAATAAAAATATTATTTAATTTTAATAAACGTCTTCTGAAGATCATTTAATTAATTAAAAATCATTACAAAATTATATAAACGGAGGGAGAACTGTCTTTATCAAATATTTATTTTTTTAATCTAAATATTTAAATAAGTTTATTTATTTTCTCTCACTAAATTGGATGAATTAATCGAAAATAAATAAATAATTGTTCAATTTTTAAAGACAAAAAAAAGATTTTAATCTCTCCGATATATTCAAAACATGTGTGTATAATTAAAGAAGCATTTTTTTGTGAATTTTGTAAAATATATGTATTAACTTGTTCAATTAATTACTACATATTTAATTTTGGGAAAAATGTTTAAAAATTAACTAAAACTATTAATTTAATTATTAAAAAAAATTAAATTTTTAAAATTATTTACATATTTTATTTACACGATTAATTTAAAAATAATATTATTTTAGATCAAATTTAAAAATTTTTTATTTTCTTCTTCCACCACCAATTCCACCAAATAAATTAGCAAAATCAATGCCTGTAACATCTTTAAGTGGCATATAATTATCACTCTCTATAGCTACTGGTTTGACCCAAAAAGCCTGTGGATCTGGTTGTTGTGCAATTACTGCCTAAATTGAAGTTTAAAAATATTTTTACAATGGAGTTCTGACCATTTTCTATGGAGGAAAAGAAATGTACTGAATTTATTTTTGTCAATTTTAAGATATTTTTATGGAACTTTATCTCAAAATAAATTTTTTTTGGATTTATTTATTATTTTTTATATAAAATTATCAAAATACTATTAATTAAAAATATTACTCTTTCCCAAAATAAACTAGATAATATTCCAAATGATAAGATAAAAATAATTAATGAGGAAAGGTCTCTGACCATAATTAAATATTTTTTGTTTGTTAAATAACTATTAATTTATGATAAAATAAATTAATTTCCTAGACTTTTATATATAAATAATTTTGTTAAAATATTTAAAGTCTAGACTAATCTAATTAATCAAAAAAAAGTTTTTTTTAAATAATTAAATAAAATTAATTAATCACTCCATTCTATTAATAATTTTTTATTTAATTTGCACAACCAAAAAATTTCTTTTATTTATTTTGACAATACATATATTCAAAAAATGGGTAAAAGAGTATTAATTGTGGGACTTTGTTGTTTGGATGTTGTAAGCTATTTAGATAATTTTCCTGTTGAGGATAGTGATAATCGTGTTTTTGATTCGGTAAATTAAATTTTTTGCAATTTTTTGCATACATAATCATAATAATAAACTAAATAATAATGATAAACTTGTTGATAAGCTGGGCTATTCCTAAATATATAGAAGTTGAACCGCGTAAAAATCCAGATTTACATATTTATCAATATTTGTCCATTTTTAGTTTGTTTTCCCATACAACTAAGAAATTGTTGTTGTCTTTCAAAAATTTTTTTCTAATTTTGAAAGAATTAAAAATCAAAAAAAAAGAAAATTAATTAATATATATTTTTCGTAGAGAATTTGTTTAGGTGGAAATGCTACAAATTCAACAATAGTTTTTAATCAATTGTCAAGTAAATGTAACGATATTAATTGTGAATTATTTGCTGCTCTTCCAAATAATAATAAACTTGTTGACGAGTTATTTTTTAAATTTAGTTTAAGGAAATTCAAAAAATATTTTTTAGATTAATTGAAAAATCAGGTATAAATATGGGAAAAAGTGTTAGACGTGTTAATTCTGAATGTCCATTATCTACAGTATTTTTAAAGAAAAAATATATTTTTTTAAATTTATAATTATATAAAGGTTATTATAAATAGTAAAAATAATGGCAGCCGAACTATTTTACATTATAGAGGAAATTTAGAAGAAATAACTTTTGAAGAGTTTTATAATGCTTTTGGACAAGAAATAAGGGATGGTAAACTAGATTGGATACATTTTGAAGGTTTAAAGCAGTAAATATTTTATTCAAAATATTATTTAATACACTCCCTTTCTCTTATTTCTTTAAATTTTATTTTAATTTATTAATACGTATAAGTATTTAAAAATTCGGCGGGTATTTTTTGGTTATCAACACAGAATTCCCAATTAATATATCTTGAAACAAGCCATAATTAGATTTTTTTAAAGAAGATTATTTTATTTTAAACAAAAGATAATTTCATTTGAAAAACTTTTTTAAAACTAAAAAAATTTTAAAATTAGCTTAAAAATATAAAATAAAAAACACAAAGAACGACAGTCAAATCTCTCTTATTTAATTTTTTATTCAAACATTATATTTTTACTTTAAGGCAGAAATTTTAATCAAGTACAGAAAATGATGGAATTCACGAAAAATGAACGTTTAAAAAATCGTCCATTTATTTCTGTCGAATTAGAAAAAGTACGTCCTTTTCCCTGTCTTGAACAATTAATTGAACCGTCGGATTTAATTTTTGTTTCAAAAGATTTTGCAAAATTTAAAGGTTAAAATAAATAAATAAAATGTATTTATAAATTAATTAATTAAAGGTTGGAATGATATGGAGGCCGCAATTAATGGAATTCAACAAGAAATGGGAGAATATTCAAAAATAGTATTTTGTGCTTGGGGAGAAAAAGTTTTTGTTGTTGATAAAAATTAATTTTAAATTAAATTTAAAGGGTGCAGCAGTTAGAGAATCATTTACTAATAAATCTTCAATTAATATTCCTCCTCCAAAATTATATATTCAACCAATATTTCCATCATTACCCCCAATAATAGATACTTTAGGGGCTGGCGATTGTTTTATAGGAACAGCTTTATTTAATTTATGCCAAAATAATAAATCTTTAAAAGAAGTTTTGGCTGAATCTGTCAGAATTGCAGGAATTAAATGTACACGTAAAGGGCTTTTAAATTTGGATGATTTGGCTGAATAAATAAAAGAAAATAAATTGGTGTTTTTCTTTAATTGTTTTTGGAGTGAATATAAATACATATGTATTTTTTGTTAAATTTTTATTATGTAATAAAGTCTTTTTACAAAAATAAATATAATACAAAATTGTTTTTTAAAATAATTTCAAAAATTTCTGGACCGAATGATTTTAAAATTAAAATCAAATAAACAATTCTATTTATTTTTGTTTTATCTATTGCAAATTTGAATAAATAAGCTAAGAATAGTTCCAAAACATATTATCTAAAAATAATTAAAGCTAAAAATATTACGGAACTAAAATCAAAGACAAATGAAATTTTAGGAAAAGTTTTTTTAGAAATTAATTTTAATTGAAGAAAATTAATTTTTACTAAATATTTTTTTAAAGAAAAATAATTTAAAATAATAATTGATCGTTCTCTGCCGTAATAAAAAAGAATGGATTTTTTCTTCCGGAACTTGCCAATGCTTTTAATAAATTTTCTTTTCTTTTAAAAATTCTCACAAAAAATTGTTGAGTGTAAATTTATGTATTGTCTTTATTTTTTTTAAAAAAAAGAAAAATTATTTTTAAAGTGCTGTCGATGACAATTCTAAAAATTGAGGATGAATTTGAAGTATTTTTTTTTCTTTTTATAAAATATTTTCTTTAAATTTATTTAAAAGTATTTTCTAGCCCCTCAGGCGGATTTAATATTTTTATAGAAAATTCACCCAATTTGTTAGTTCTTTTTTTTAATATCTCCTTTATATATTCCCCCTTTCCTCTCTTGTTTTTTTACTTTTACCTCTTCTCGTTTTATTCATTTAATAAACGGGAAAAAAAAGGGGGGGGATGCTTACACAAATAACAAATTGATGCGTTCCCGCCTTCCTTATATCCACTTTTAAAACATTTTTTCTACCATTTTGGCCAATAAAAATGGTATTAGATAAAAATAAGTATATCTGTTAAGACTAAAAATTTAACCCTTATATTTCTTTTTTTATAAAGACAAAAAAATAAAAAAAAAGGGGGGGGGAGAGGGGAGCAAGCAACAAACACAAAAAATATAAACAAGTATTTTTACTACGTCCGTTTTTTGCCACCAAATTCTTTTGTCAAAAATGCCATTTACGCTTTCTTTTTTTGTTCTATACAAATTCTTCCTCTTTTATTTTGTGTGAATAATCTGTCATTTTCCTCCTTCACTTTTTTTAAAAGTCTATTTTTTATTTTTTAATATTTAAAATATTTATTTTAAAAATTATTTTTTAATTTAAATTTTATTTTTAATTAATTTTAAATATTCAAAAATTCAAAAAATTCAGAACTCTTTTGTATTTTTAACTTCACAATTATTTTATATTATTAAAAAAATATTTTCTTTTTTAAAAAATTTTGCTAAACATATTTTTATTTTTATTTAAATATCAATAATTGTCCATTTTTGCCATTCTTTCCATATTTCTCTAAAAATAATTTTCCAATTTTCGCCCTTGGAAAAATTTTTAGTAAAATTATGTTTTTGTAGACACAAATAATTTTAAATACAATTAAATTTTGTTTGACTTAAATCTTTTGTAAATTATTTTAGTAGAAAAATATATATTCTACTGTGTTTTTGACATTTTATTTTAATTTTCAATAAATTAATTTAAAATTTAATAATTTTTGATTAATATTTTACTAGAATAAGATGACTACAAAATTCTCTTCTTCTTTGTCCTTTCTAATTTTAATAATTATTTGTTATATTTCATTAGCTTTATTACAAAAAACTAAAATAATTACTAAACGATTTTCACCTCTCCCAACAAAAGAAAATATTTTTAATCAAAAAGAAAAATTAAATAATTTTATTTGGCCATTAGAATGTCGACAACAAAAAAGGTTTTGGAAAAGAGAGAAAATCGAATTGAAAATTAAAATTAAAAAAAAGTTTTCTTTTTTAAAGATTATTAGGAAAAGATGGAAAAAGTTCTTCTTCTCAATTGGTTGCGGACCAGGGACAATTCCCAGAGGATTTATTTACTATGGACCAGCTACGTAGAGGGGCTGTATTTTTACATTTATTTGGTAAAAATAAATAAATATTTATTTTTAAATTAAATATAAATTGTTGATAATTTAATTGAAATTTTTTTATTTTGTGATTAAATATAAATTGGGAAATAAATTTAAAGGATTAGTTTATATGTTTATTGCATTGGCTATTGTTTGCGATGAATTTTTTGTGCCTTCATTAGGTAATAATTAAAAAGGAATTTTATAAGAATTTTGATGAAATTAACAAAATTTTAATTAATTTCTAAAGCTGTAATAACTCAAAGATTGGATATTTCTGATGATGTTGCAGGGGCAACATTTATGGCAGCTGGAGGGTCTGCCCCGGAATTTGTTTGATTTTAGAGAAATAAAATTTAAATTAAATAAATTTAGTTTACTTCTGTTGTTGGAACATTTTTAGCCAAAAATAATGTTGGGATAGGGACTATTGTTGGTTAGTTTTCCCTCTAATGTAAGTAATTATCAATTTATGTTTAATTTTAAAGGAAGTGCAACATTTAATATTCTTTGTGTTCTCGCTTTTTGTACAATTTTCTCTAAAAATTGTTTACAATTAAGTTGGTGGCCTCTTTTTAGGTTTTTTTGAAGAAAAATATTTTTTTTCCAAATTTTAATTTTTAAGGGATGTTTCTTTTTATGTTATTGCTTTAATTATTTTAGTTTTTGCATTTCTTGATGAACAAGTTAATTAAAAAAATATATTAAAAAATATTTTTATTAAAAAAAGATTATTTGGTGGGAAGCAGCATTACTTTTTATTATTTATTTAGCTTATGCTTTATTTATGAAATATAATTCTGTTGTTGAAATTTATATTAAAAATTGTTTTGGATGTTTAACAGAAATGGATAAAGAATTAACACAAATAAAAGAAATTGATTGTGTTGAAAGAATGGAAGTATTGGAAGAGGAAGAAGATGAAGATAATAATAATAGTTATTTAGAGGAAAATAATAAACAATTAGAATCTACTAAATCTGGTGGTGGTGGAATTGTTGTAAAAATTATTTTCTTTTAATTTCTTTAAATTATATACAGTTAGTTTAATTTATATCCATTCTTTTTGTCTAAAAAATTGTACATAATAAATGGAAGGAGGTATATTAAAGTGAAATACCGTGAAAAAATTATTGATTTTTGCCTGTTCAAGTGTATTAAGATTTGTTTTAAATAAATTTTTCATAAAAAACAATAGAAAATAAAGGCAAATATAGGAGTGAAAAACTTCAAAAAAATTTGTATATAAAATAGAGGTTAAATATATTTTTTACTAATTTTCTAGACCTCAAAAGAAGTAAATATTCCTGCTGAAAAAACACCAAAATTTGAATGGTGGAGTTGGAGACGTCCATTACCAATTAGCCAATTACATCGTTCAGACACAGTTTGTGCACACAGAACAATTCAACATCATAATAACACAAATAATCAAAGACGTCGACAATCTTCAATTCCAAATTCTGGCGGTTATAGACGTCAATCTATTCCAATTTTACATTCTGGGGCAATGTTTAGAAATGGAATTATTTCTGTAAAAAGAGAGAGAAAGATTTTAATTTAAAATTCTAAATTTTGTAGTTAATGTCTCAAACACTTGATCCAGTAATTGAAAATCGTGATCAAAATATAGTAGAAAATGAAAATAAAAATAAATTAGAATCACACAGAATGCAAGGAGGAAATAATGTACAAATTGAGGTGAAAATAATTTTTAATTAAAAAAATAATAAATTTATGAAAATCTCAGCAACAATCAATTCTAAAACGACCAAATTCTGATTTAAATAGAAATTACCCAACTACAAATACAGCAATTAGAAGATCATTAGTTGATACAAATGGAGATATAATTATTGGTAGTTTAAGCAGTAATCGGTGTTCGCCTAGAGTGGATTTTGAAGAAATTGTTTGTTTTTTATTGTATTTTTTGTAAAAAAATATATTTTTAACAGAAATCTGTATTGGAAGAAGAGGCAGATAGACCTTTAGATATGAGTTGGCCGGCACTTTGGCATAAACAAATACTTTATGTGTTTTTAGCCCCAATACTCTTCCCTTTATGGTTAACAATGGCTGATGTTCGAAAACCTGTAAATAATTTATAAAAAATAATTTTTAATAAAAAAATTTAAAGGAAAAACAAAAATATTTTGCAATTACATTTTCTTTATCAGTCCTTTGGATTGCTTTTTTCTCTTATTTAATGGTTTGGTTAGCTAATACAATTGGTCTTACACTTGGAATTTCTACAGAAGTAAATAAATAAATAAATTTAAATTTATTTAATTTTTTAGGTTTTAGGATTAACAATTCTCGCTGCTGGTACTTCTATACCTGATTTAATTACTAGGTTAATATTTAAATTTTAGTTTATAATTAAATTGTTTCTTAGCGTTATTGTTGCTCGGAAAGGACTTGGAGGTATTTTTTAGAAAAATATTTATATATTTTAACTAAAGTAGTACATCCGCCCTTCGGGGGCGGATGTATCGGGGATCGAAGTTTGACGGGGAGGGCATTTCGGAGTCCTGGGGTGACTTTTAGGTCGGGTTTCGGGAGTCGGGTTGCTGCCCTAAATTTTAACATTCAAAGATATGGCTGTTTCAAGTTCTGTTGGTTCTAACATTTTTGATGTCTGTGTAGGGTTTGTTTATTAATATTTTTATTAAATAATTAATTATTTATTTAATAGATTACCGATACCTTGGCTTATTTATTTTCTTTGGCAATTAGTAATTAATTTTAATCTAAATATATTTAATTATTAAAAAAAAAGATATCTAATTTTACTTCTTCAAATACCAATCAAAATTATTTGTCTGTACAAGTTTCCAGTAATGGATTAATTTGTAGTGTTGGAATGCTATTTTTAATGTTAATTGTACTTGTATTGTCTGTTGGTTTTTGTAATTGGAGAATGAATAAATTATTTGGGGGAACGATGATTATTGCTTATTTAATTTTTTGTGCTCTCTCAATTGCTTTGGAAATTGGCGGAATTTCTTGCCCTTTAAGGCTTTGCCAAAATTATTAAAAATTTAAAAATTGATCTCATTTATTGTATATATTTATATTTTTATAGTTAATTTAAATAAATAAATACAGATTTTTTGTTTAATTTAATTTGTAATTTTTTAGATTATAAAAATAAAAGAAATTTAGAAAATGAAGGTAGAGTAGAATACAATGAGAATTGGGTCTAGGGCTAATTAGAATGGTTTAGTTTTATTTTAAAAAATCCCGAGAAAAATACTTCTCTGTGTGGCCAAAAGTGTAAAAATAAGTTGTTTATTTTCACATTATTTTTTTTATAATTTCCGTTTTTAATTTTTGTTTTTAATATAAAGTGCAATTAATGAATTATTTCTCAAATATTATTTTCGAAATCCTCATTGCTATTTAAAATAAAATAAACTTTATTTTAAATATTTTTTATTCAAAAAATGTTTTTTTCTAAAAAATTTAATATTTTAATTATTTTATTTTTAATTTATTGTAAGTGATTTTTTATTTATTTAAATAAAAAACTAAATTTAAATTAATTTTAGTAATGTTAATTTTGGTTAATATGAAGGACAATAATAAAAAATTAAATAATTTAATTAATGTCAGAACATCAATTTCAACACTTGTTTGGTCTTCTGTTGCCCATTTTGGGTTTATTTAATTATTTAATATTTTTGTTTTTTATTCTCTTTTAGTCCACCACAAAATAATGTGAATATGGAAATATTTTCAAAAAATTTGAAGAAAATATTTAAACAAAAATATTTAAAACAAATAATTAAAGAAAAACAAAAAACATTCAAAATTCCGGATTTTTATTTAAAATTTTCTGAAACAATTTTTAATTTATTTATTAATTTTGCGAATGAAGCAAAGGATTGTTGTGAAGGTTTAATTGAAAAAATTGGAAATATGTTAAATAATGATAATAATGAGAGTGATACTAGACATATACAAAATATTTTGGATAAAACAAATATTCGTTTAATAAATAAATTAAATAAATGGCAAAGTTGTCTTAAAAGGTAGATATTATTTTAAAAGGAAAAATTATTTTTCGTGGTGATGAAAGATTTTTTGTTAAATTCTAGAAGTTTATTATAAAAATTGTGACAAAAATTGCTCTTAAAGGGTTACATTTTATTTATAAAATGAGAGTGTAAGTGAATATTAGGGTTGGACACCGTCCTTGAAATTCTGGGGAAATTGGAGATTTTTCTCTCCGACTCGGTCCCCTTTTATTTAACTTACATATAAATACATAGTGCATATATTTTAAATAATTAAGTTCTCAGGAAGAAGAAAGAGATAATGAAATAACATTTAATAATAATATAAATTTAAATCAAGAAAATGAAGGCAAACCAAACTTCCATTTATTACTTTTTTATCATTTTTTTATTTTTGAATTAATTAAATATTTAACACCCCCATTATCTGAAACAAAAATTTTCATTGAAAATATGGGAGAATCTTCTTCTTCGGCATCTTCAATTTGGTCACAAATTGGACGAAAGTTTACACATAGTTCAACGAAAAAAGAAAATCTTTTAAATTCAACTTTTAACAATTTAATTGTTGAATGGCTTAGTGAAGGGGTTTTGGAAAAATTGGAAACAAAATTAATTTTGCCAATAATTGAATGTGATAAATTGGAAATAGCTAAATTGGGTATTAGACTTGCTTTTCGACCTTTGAAAAAAATAACGGAAGCAAAACATTGGTGGACTTATATTTTGGATCCAAGTTTTTCATTAGCAAATATGGATGACAGTGGTGAAAGTTGGTTAAATAATAAAGAATGGGAAGAGCAATTAACTAAAAGGTTATAAAAAAGAAAATAAATAAATTTAAATATTATTTTTTTTAGTTTACCAAAATATATTTCTAAATTGTCAAATAAAATGATTGAAAGTGCAGAAAGTATTGTTAGTTCAATTATAGAAGAATTATCTTTACTTGAGGGAACATCTACAGTTAAATCTCAATTATTTTTAGTTTTTGAGACAGTGGAAAATGATTTGAGATCGGATAAATTTATACAAATATTAAAAAATCTTTCAGAAATAAATAAAAAAGAAGTTAAAGTTTAGTAAATAATTAATTTTTTTATTTAAAATTTTTTTTTCAGATATTATTTTTTTATATAAAATATTTTCAAAAACTTAAAGAAAATATTCTTTTAAATAATGCTGAAATAGGAGAAATAAATAATAATAGTAGAAGAAGAGGAGGAGGAGGAATAGAATCAGTTCAATCATCTCCAATTATTGCCCAATTTACAACAAATAAAGAAAAAAATAATTTTATAAAAAATAAATTAATTGACTGGCTTTTTATTTTGGAAGAATATTTAGTATTAATTGATCCTAAATGGAGTCTTGCTGAATTAGAAAATAAAATTAATAAAAATAATAATTCTTTATCAGAATTGTTTCCTCTTTTAAATCTTGGACTTTTTTATAAATGGCAGAATGGGCAACCTTTGGCAACAATTAAATTGTTATCTTTAAAAGAACGCCGTCCTCTACTTCGTTTAATTAATTCATCAACCTTCAATAGAGCAATGCTTTTAATTTATTCTTCTATATCTCCATTCCTTGTGCAGATTAATAGCATTAAAAAATTGGAATTGGCATGTGATGTTAGAGCAGTAAAAGCATCAATTGCTATACAAGTAAGAAAGTTCTTGATTTAGTTATTCGATTGATTCTGACAAAACTTTGGCCGATGTTTTTGAGTTGTTATAATACTATGTGAATTTATTTCTAAATAGGATAGCTTATATCCTTGTGGTGGGGATACTATAAAACTAACCAGATTATTATCTATTAACAAAAAAATTAATTCAATTAAAAAAAATATTTTTTAGGAAAAAATGTTTTTAGAATGTATTAAAAACATAGAGAAAGGGGATGTTCTTCGAGAAATTCTTTATAATAATTCTGATGGTACAGAACAAATAATGATTTCAAAAATTCAAAAAGAAATAGCTCAATGGGATGATCGTAATCAAAATAAAGGAATTAAACAATTATTAAATATTATTTTGAATGTTCAAATAGATTTTGAATTAATATATAAAGAATTAATTAAAAGTTTTGTTTGGAAAAGAGGAGAATTACAAAAAGTTTTGATAATATTTATTTTTAGTAGATTATTTTATTATACCGAAAAAAATATTTTAAAACAAGAAAATAATATTTTGGGAATTTTTGTAAGAGAAAAACTAATTGGAATTAATAAAGATAATTTAATTGAAGAAAATAATAATTCTGAAGGAACTAGCAGTACTCGTACATCAACATCCTTGTCTGGACCTCCACGTTCTTGTAATTTATTATAATATTAAAATTTTCTTAAAATTCTTATATTAAAATAAAACGAATGACCTTTTAAGTAAATAAATTTATATTCTTTGTTAATATAGACAATTTAACTATATTTATTTATTTTATTAAATTTAAAAATAATTTAGCAACAAGTATTGATATCCAACAAACACCACAAAGAGAGAATCAAGGAAGAAGTCTTCTTGATATTGTATTAAATGGAAGTTTAGAAAATCAAAAATTTAAAAAGAAGTTTTTGTCTAATTTATTTTTAAGTAATAATATTTATGAAAAATTTGAAGAATTAGAGAATACTAAGCAAGGAGAAAGTAAATTATTAAAAATGTTTTTAATGAATAAAGAAGAAGATGATTAGTAAATTACCGTATTTCCTAAAATAGTACTCCCGGGAGTACTATTTTTCAACCCTCCTCCAAAGGGGAGTACTATTTAAGGGGGGAGTGCTAATTCAGGGGGGAGTATTATTTTTCAACCATCCTCCATGATTTTTCATAGGAAAATTTATTTCAAAATTAAAAAAAATATTTTAATTTATTTCAATTTATCTCAAAATAAATTCGATTAGAGTTCGCTATTTGAAAAATGCCGGATCCGGACCCTGATTTTCAAAAAATTTCTTTAATAAAAGTTGTAGAAAATATCCGAATTAGTATAAAATTGAGCAAATTGCGAGACAATTAAACACAAGTGACTTAAAATACGGGTTATTGAGGGAAATCAAAAAGGATATAAGTGAATTTGGAGTGATATCGAGGGATATAAGGGGATTTTCGGGTCTAAGATTTATCAGGGTCAACTAAACCCATGTGTCTAGGGATTACCTAATCTCTGTCTAGTTATTTATCATATTAAACACCGATATCCTCCACATCCCTTTTGTACTTCCGATATTAGTTGATTAAGAAGGATTTATGATTCAACTTATCGCTTAATCGCTCTTAATCAACCAAAATCGCCTAATATTACTCCCCCTTCATTATTCCCTCAAATTCCTATATCAAACCTTAATCCAATGATGTCTTTTAAATGCCACTTGATTAATACAGAACCCATTTTACACCCGATATCAATCCCTTTATATACCCAAAATCCACTTTTACTCCACCAATTAATCGGATTATATCTCTTTAATCCTCGAAAAATTTTAGTTTAAAATTTCGATTCGTTTTCGGTTAACCGAAAGCTCTCAGGTTTTGTTTATCAAAGAATCAAGTGAAACCGACAACGATACTTAGAATAAATAAAATAATTCAATGTCTCGTATTATTTTTTTAAATATGTATAGAGGAAAAATATTTTTGGGGGGAGTACTATTTTAGGGGGAGTACTAATTCAGGGGGGAGTACTATTTTTCAACCCTCCTCCAAAGGGGAGTACTATTTAAGGGGGGAGTGCTAATTTAGGGGGGAGTACTATTTCAGGAAATACGGTATTCTTTTTTCTGTTTTTTTGTAATAAATAAATAAATAATTAATTTTTTAATTATTTTAATTAAAATTAAAATTATTCTAATTAAAATTAAAATAATTAAAATAATTATAATTAAAATAAAAAATAAAATATCTAAACATAAATATTCAATTAATGAAAGGTTAACAGTTTCTGGAATCATCTCTTTTAAAGGTCCATTAGAAATAACAAATTCTGTCCATTTAATTATAGCCTCTTCTGGTCT